AAWRARWGTCTGCGGAAGAGCGTACCACCATTGGCTGCGATGCTGTCATGCTCCGCTGCGATCCTTCCAGACCTCGCATGTCGCCCGCATGGGTCAAGGGCGGTGTCAAATATCCACAATGCTGGCACCATTTGATAGGAAACGTTCGGCTATGGCTGCTCGAAATAGAAACACGCATGGAACCACGCTGCTAATACCGAATGCAWGATTGTCACTTACGGTAGGTGCAAGCTTGAGACCACTCCAAAGCCCGCTGTGCGACAAGCAGCGCAATACTCTGATATGTCACCAAGAACGTCATTGTTTGGGGAGTTGCATACTCCGGACGGGTCTCAAAACCTGACTGCGTACAGGGAATGACGATTGAGCAGTACCTGTGATTACACGTGCATGACAATTGAAGCGACAACTAGACTACTTGATCAGTGTCGTCCATGTCATCTTCGACTTCCTCCTGGACAGGCTCTTCTGCAGGTGGCTCTATGAGCTCGCCAGCAGCTGCCTCGCCTACAGCAGATTCTTCGATTGCCCTCTTCCGGCGCCAGACTCTGGCCCAACGGGCACCCCAAAGCATGATCAGATCACGCTCAGTACTGTCACCATCGAAGCGTTCCATCATTTCGTCCTGTGAGCCATTGGCGACTGCAGATACTGCATCTTCAATGGTATCAAAGAGTGCCCTCATGCCTTGGCGCTCTCTGGGTAAGGCTTCGTCGATTTGGACACGCTGCTCGAACGGCACTTTGGGGTTGTTCCGCTCCCGCAGCACCTGACGAACACGATTCGTGACCTTGTACATGGTGATTGAGACCATCTCATAGATCTGTGAGGATGCCAGAGCGTGACCACGGTTCATGCGATCCTGCATTGCCAGTTGAATGACCGCCATTGGTGTGATGATGGTGTAGTTGAGCAGTTTGTCAACAATGTTGACGGCGGTTCCRGGCTGATCCGCCCAGAAGTCGAGGACGGAAGCCACAATCTGGCGACGAGCAGGCTCTGATCGCTGTCCGATCTCGAGAAGACGCTCCTTGCAACGATCAATCGTGGAGAGGACGTGCGACAACGACTTGGAGCCAATGCTGAGGATTGCAGTCACGTAGATGTCGGTGCTTGGAACCAGAGGGTCGCCGCCGCCCATCTCAGCTGCTTGCACGTGAACAGAGTCCAGAACCTTTTGGATCTCTTCCTCGGGCGCCTTTTTCTTCAACAGCGCTAGCACCTCGCGGCCTTCCTTGGCGTACGGGGTCTGATCATTGGCGAACTTGTACTCCGGTATGTCATTCTCCTTGCTGGCTGGTACCAGCTTGTGGTAGGGTTCGGGGAGCGTCTCKCGAATGCGCTTGGCGAATGACAAGCGTATCTCCTTGTCGAGAACACCATTGATGAACGCTTTCTTTGGATCCAAGTTTGAAAGCTCAACTTCAGGAACCCTAAAAGGAGTTAGTAAGAAATAGGTATACAGCATCACGTTGGATTCTTACCACTCAGTCCACTTCCACCGAAACTCGAAGTTGCTCAGATGATGGGCAAACCAGTCCATGAAACGATACGAAAGCTCCATGTCCATTTGATCAATGTGTCTGAACAGGAAACGGATCGCACGTCCGAGACTGGGCGCAATGGCCCCAGGAGAAATCTTGCATGACTCTGTGATGAGAGAGTGATAGTACACAAGGCGATGCTCCGGACTGGGCAATTGGAAGATCTGTGAGAATATGGCATCGATGATGACATCTTCTGGTTTCCACGTCGGTCTTCCAGGTCCTAGATCTCGCAGCTTGTCGAACGTCGTCGATCGCTTCACAAACGTGTCTTGTGCCCAGAAGCAATCGATCTCGTTGAGGAATTTGGCGACGGCGTTTCGGTTGAAGTCGAGTATGTTGATTGTATCGGTGATTGTATCACGGAGTAGGGATGATGCGACGTTTGTCGTGGGTGGTACAGACTCAATGTCCTGGTCGGCGAAGAGAGAGAAGTAGACCTCTGGGAGGAAAGGCTTCGGTCCCGAATTGACTGGAGATGGAACCTCGATCGCTGGGAACGCGTGCTTTGTAAACACATGCGCTTCACCATTGCCGTTTACCTCTTCGCCAACAGCCTCGCCCTCGGCGGTCTCGATCTTGACCGTTGTCTTGAAGGTTGGATCGTAGACTCGGGGAATGCATACCAGCTTCCACCCAGAGTTGGCTTCATCGGTAAGCTGAGACTGCAGGAGTGATATCACACTGGCGCAGATCATCGCCCTGGGTTCCTGCTCGTTCTCGGTCGGATATGGATCAACCAGCGACTCAAGCGGGTGCGAAGACGATGCCACAATCTCGGTCTTCTCCAATAGTTCCGATGCTTTTTGCTGCAGGGCTGTGTCGGATGAGGCTGCGAGGAGATATGGAATGGTCAGGAGTATGATTTTGACAAGTTCGATACCGACGGCCTAGTAATGGAATGTCAGCAGATGCTCCAGAAGGATTATTGTCCCAAGGTCTTACATCTTCAGATGAAGCGGTCTGCAAGTCCACGGCGCGGTTGAACAGCTCGTCCAGGATGGGCATAACGCCATCCTCTTCGAACAGCGGGCTCAAGCAAGCCAAGAATCGCAGTAGCAATTTGAATTCTCTCCACTGCCCTGCCTCGAGTGCCTCTTGCAAGTGCTGTCCAATGCCCTTGATCACGTCCTGCGCCACGCTTGAACTCTCGACATTGCCATACAACACAACCGCCGCGACGAACGGGATCTTGAATGGCTGTTCCAGTACGAGCTTCAGTGTGAGTGTGTTGAAGGTATCTTTGACATATTCATCCTCGTAGTTCTCAGCCGTCAACTTGGCGAGGTTGGCCGCGACTTCGTGTGGTAGGCGGCCATGGTCCTCAGCGATCTCGAGCAGACCCCGGCGAATTCTAGTCCCCGGAGGTGGCTCCTGTCGCTGACGCTGGTTCCGGTCGCGTTGGTCAAAATCGTCGTCGTCTATGCGCACAGGTCAGCGCAGGTCATGGAACGATCGCGTACTCCTCTCGCTAAGCTTGTTGGCTTTTGGGTATTGAGGATGCGAATGCTGGGAACTGAGGATGTGAACGCGCTTCAGGAGCTGTGCTGTACGTACCTCTGCGCTTCCGCTTGTTGAATCGTCCACCGCCTCCTCCACCTCCTCCGCCACTCCTGTAGTCACGTCGATTCTCAATGTCTGCCATTGCTGGTAATAGCCGTGTTGATGGAKAGAATGAGAATGTGTGTGATGAAGATGTGTTTGCATGRAACGAGCTCCAAAGCTCGAATCCTTATGTAAACGTTTTGGAATAAGGTTTTGCGCCAGTCACTCTTTCACACCTCACTCAGTTCAATCCTACAACAAACAAGTATTGACTTGATTCCAACCGAAGCCATGCCCGCCGTCCGCACTGCGAAGAATCGCAAGCCGCCGCCAGATGGTTTCGAAGATATCGAGGACACTCTGCTCGAGYTTTCCAACAAGATGAAGGATGCTGAAAATGCCAGCCACGAAGGCCGGAAGAAGCACGAAATGCTCTGGCCTGTCTTTCAGATCACTCACCAGCGTATGTACTTACCAACATGATTCTGCACTCACCATCACATGCAAATTTTGGTCATCTCCGATATATTTCATGCCCGCTTGGGCCGCTAAGGTGAGGATATTGCTCTCTTTGACCTCAGACCATAAGCGGTGTTGCGGGTAGCCTGTCCTGGTGCTGACTATGTCTTGTAGGATCGAAATACATCTACGATATGTACTACGAGAAGGAAGCCATCAGTAAGCAGCTCTATGATTGGCTGCTGAAGAATGGGTACGCAGATGGGAATTTGATCGCCAAGTGGAAGAAGCAAGGCTACGAGAAGGTTCGTTGAATCGCCTCTGAGGATCACACTCCGCTAACATTTCACAGCTTTGCTGTCTTCGATGTATTCAGACCAAGGAGACGAACTTCAACAGCACGTGTGTCTGTCGAGTTCCAAAGGAGCAACTAAAGGACGATCAGGAGATTCAATGCGTGAGCTGTGGCTGCCGCGGCTGCTCAAGCAGCGACTAAGTAGCGTATCTGTTTCTTGCTCGGGGTCGGGACTTTATGTCATGGATCGGAGGTAGTGGCGTTGGGAATGGCGTTGCAGAAATCATACTGAATCTCAATACTTGCGGCTCTGTGTTCGGGATATTCAATGAAAGAATCTTTTGACTTTGATAACAGTCTGACGGCGTATTGTTCTCATTTGTCTGTGCCGATATGTATTTTTGAGTTGGGCGATGTGTGTACCTGAGATGAGGTCTACTCGTCAGAGCATGTGAATGAAAACGTGGTGGTGGAGTTTRAGTTGATCCTAATTCTCGAATGTCGATATTTGAAGTCCAACCGGCTGTGCTGCACGTTCGGCGCCACCTGATACCACATAAGCTACGATATAACACGAGAGCGCTCAAGTCCAAAGTCCATATATGTATGTATAGCCTCATCGTCACCGCCCGAGGCACAAAGAGTGAATGACACTACCCCAACCCTAACCCTAAAATACAGCGCGACGCATCGAACACTTCAGTAGCACAATACCTCGCCATGGAGGTCATGTAAATCACCTCTGAGAATAGATAGTCCAGGAGACTCGCTGGCATATCGTATTGCAAGTACATGGCACCCTGCAAGATATTGTTACGAGGCGCTGTCAGGAGATCATCTCCCATGGCTTCTGGCTGCAAAGAGAGACGGCCACTCTTGATAATTAATCAATTCGATATCATTACGATCACATACATCTACAACGCTAAAGGACTCTTCGCTCTCCCATGACTATGAGGAGATGCCAGTGGTTTCTTCGCTTTCTTGCGCTGCCTTTTCGGACTTGTTCGCTTTCCCTGGCATGGCTCCTGGCCTGGCGGACTGTGAGAGTCTTCCTGCTCATCGAAGTAGTCCTCTTGGGTATAGCCAGCGTTCGGGGACGGCGGCTCAACGGAAATGTCAGGGTGATCACGGCTCTGTGGCCTGCTCACCTCCGTGTCCGAGGCAGATCGATCGACGTCCTGACCTGCGCGCCATATTCTCCGCCTGAACAAGCTTACTGGACTCCGGCTATCAGGAGAGGGGCTATTCGGCGGAGATTCCCACCCACTTCGCAGTGCTGTTGACGATCTGTTCATCATTTGTTGCATCAGAGGCACCYCCAAGAAGCCATTTTCGGATCGTGTGAAGATGGCCAATGCGAGACACAACAGAAGAAGCGTGGACTGAACGATTCCCATCCGCTTCTGCCATACCAATTCATCAGCGACCATTGTCAGCCTTGTGCTGAGGGCAAGCATTTCATTCTGATAGGCCTCCCTCTGCCCTTCCAGCTCGATGACTGTGCTTTGCCACAGTTGGTCATATGACTGTCTGAATCCATGCAGCTCAGCCATGACCGTGCTATTCAACTGGGACAGGAATTTGGTGGTGGTAGCGAGCTGCCGCTTTTCAACTTTGGTGAATGCGTCGCGAAGGATCCGCGACTGTTCCTCGATGTATTGCAAACTCCAGGTACTGTTGCTCTCTAGTTGTTGTAAACGCTTGTGGAAGGACTTGAAGAAGGACTCTTGAGTGGAAGGCTGCGGCGGCTGTGACACCGTTACCGAGGCCGCTGCACGTGTTGTATTTGTGGATGATGCGGTTTGATTCGCGGGACCCGTCGAAGTTGAAGATATGCTTTGATCTGTGAGAACGGTCGATGTTTCGTTCGTTGGTGACGAGCTTCGGTCACCGTGGGTGGTGGTAGTATGTGATCCATTGGGACCGCGTTCAAAGGTGGTGTCGGTTGTGGCAGGGGGAGAGAGGGGTGATGTCGTACTTGAAGTGTTCGCGTTCTGTGCTATAGAATGTCCATTCGCGATTTCACCTGTTGTGGAATGCGATGCACTTGTTACAGCTTTCGATGGCTCTGGCGACTCCGTCACTGTGTCAGCGATCGTAATGTTCGGCTTGCCCGCGACCTCTGTGATCGTCTCAGTCTCAGCCATCCTTCCATCATACCCCGTATCGTTCGAGGCGGAGTGCCCGTGTGTGGGCGATGCCTCACCGACCGGAGCAGAGTTGGTAGCCGGTAAGGATTGTGTGCTTTCAAAGTGAACAGATGGTAAGGTTTCCTCACTTGAAACGACCTCTGCCGCAGTCTTGGTGACTTCATACGTCGGCTCCACACCTGCCGGCAGCACCGGAGGAGTTGCCAAAGCCTCCACTTCCAGTGTGGCCTCCTCGTCCTCACCTCTGGCAACCTCTTCTTGATGCCTGTAGTCTTCCCACATGGTTGTCCCGTGGACTCTCAGCACACTGACTGGACAGTAGTACTCGGTGCCATAATGAGATAGGAACTCGATCCGCAGGTATCTCGCCCATATGATGGGGTTTTGAATGAGGAAAGCTTGTATCTCGCGCGTATTGCGGGCTTCAAATGTGCCCAGATCTTTCCACTTTTCCATCTTGACGGGATAGCGATCGGAGACAGAGATCCGGAAGTGTCTAAAGCTTGAGCTGAAGAACTCGTAGTTGGCCAAAACAATGGTATCAATCTGGATATCATCACATAGTTGGRCGATGAAGAATTTGTTCGCCGCAGAACAGGTGTTTAGCATGTAGCTATCTTTGTTCTCCACAAGCACAGAGGATGCCGATTTGCACTCTTTGTTCGATTTGAGAATTGTAGCAGCACAATCAAACGATGCGTAGTTGGAGCGCTCCTTGCAAGTCTTTCCCGCATCCTTTGAGCGTAGTGAACCTGCTGCGAGATCCTGCTGATCAGGTGATGTCAAAGTGGATGATCGCACCCCACCCCGACTTGGGTGGCTGTCCACTACGGGCACTTGAGGACCTCCTCCAAAGCCAGCAAAGTCCAGATTGATCTCCTGCTCCTCGCCTAGAGTGTCCAGAGCGTTGTTGATTCCAGGTCTTGGGCGGTTGGCATCGATAGGTTGCCCACGGCCAATGTCGTCGGGCGACTGCCCAACCTTGGCGAGATTCTGTTTCTTCCATTCTTCGAAAGACAGAAAGTTTGCATTGTCCAGAGGTGACTCGGCGTCTTCTTCTGCGTCGGTGAGAGATGGCTTGGGGGTTTCATCACGGTATGAGGAAGTTTCAACGGACATTGTTGCATCTTCTGCCGGCTGAGCATTGCCGTTCAGGACCGAGACCTCGAGAGTTACAGTATCAATTGGTGGTCGTATTGTCTGCGTCAACGTGACGACGATATTGGAAGTTATCGAGTCCGTTGTGGGTGAGGTGGCATCGTTGGAGATGGAAGTTTGCCCCATTTTCAAGCATTGTTGGGCGAGGGTGTGCGTGATGTAGTTGATTGTGCGGCTTGGACATGTTGATGAATGCGATACACTATGGGATCCTGCGGCAATAGGACTGGCGACCTGGGAAATGCTGCTTCCAGTGCTTGTGTGAGTGCTTTGGGTGGCGAGTCCATCGCGGATCCAAAGTAAGAGTACCGCTTTGCGCAGCAGACTGTTCATACTGCTGCAGCATCCTCTGCCGAGTATGTGTAGGTATGTTTGGAAGAGGTGTAGCCGTGACAAGGGACCACTCGCAAGAGACCAGATGTCAATTCGAGACAARGACTTTGCGCGGAATGATCACCCGATCCTCCGCCACCTCCACCATCTACCGTCCACACGCGCAGAGCCTGGTGCGGATCAAATGGCCTCGACTGGTTGGAATGATCGTGGCTGCGGTTCTTGGCTGCCGCAACTGCTTTGCTTGGTTGCTTATCTTGTTCATGTTCACGGCGAAAGTTTGAAGCCTGAGGTAAACTTCGGCGTCGCCCCCGAGAATTGTGATCTGCTCACCTATGCTGGCTGAGCTGATTCTATAACTTCACAACCTTCACTACACAACATGCGCAATGTCTGTCGTTACGCCCTCTGCTAGGGCGCGCGTCTTGGGCCATGCACGTCGTGTGCGGCCCGCAGTTGCTCTGCGGCGCAGTCTTGCCACAGTCGCCGATATACCCTCAAGGTGATTGAATGCACCCGGAATCGCCTCGCCAACGACTCGCGTGTTGACCACATGCCAGACCTCCCGTCGACGTAGTTGTAATCGGAGGCGGCCATGCAGGATGCGAAGCCTCTGCAGCAGCGGCGCGAACCGGAGCCCGGACGATGCTCGTCACGCCCTCACTGGACAATCTAGGAGTATGCAGCTGTAATCCATCATTTGGTGGCATTGGGAAAGGCACAATGTTGCGAGAGATTGATGCCCTAGACGGGCTTGTCGGTCGAATTACAGACCAGGCTGGGATCCAATTCAGAATGCTGAATCGGAAGAAGGGACCTGCAGTATGGGGACCACGAGCACAGATTGACCGAGCGCTCTACAAGAAATACATGAGGCATGAGATGATAAACTATCCTGGGTTGGAAGTGAAAGAGGGCAAGGTTGCGGATATCGTGGTTGACAGATCTCCAACTGCAGCTGCAGAAGGTAGACATGGAAAGATCACAGGGGTCAGGTTGGAGTCGGGTGAGGTGATTGAGACTGAAAACGTTGTGATAACGACGGGCACATTCCTGGGCGGTGRGATTCACATCGGACTCGAAGTGTTCCCTTCAGGGCGGATGGGTGAGGCTGCTACATTTGGTCTGTCCACGTCACTACGAGAAGCAGGCTTTAAACTTGGACGACTCAAGACTGGAACGCCACCCCGTCTGGACAGGAGAACGATCGATTTCTCCCAACTTGAGGTGCAGCCTGGTGATGAGCCTCCCATGCCGTTTTCCTATCTCAACGAGCGTGTTGCGGTAGAAACACAACTAGACTGTCACAGCACATACACCAACCCCAAGGCACATGACATTATACGTCAAAATCTTGACAAGAGCATACATATCCGAGAGACTGTCAAAGGACCTCGATATTGTCCATCGCTTGAAAGCAAAGTATTACGATTCACCTCCAAAGAGAGCCATCTCATCTGGTTGGAACCCGAGGGCTTCGACAACGATGTTATATACCCGAATGGTGTAAGCATGACGGTCCCTGCAGAAGCACAGGAGGCTATATTGAGGTCCGTGGTTGGGCTGGAAAACGTGAAGATTCTACAGCCAGGGTATGGCGTGGAGTATGATTACGTCGATCCGAGGAGCCTGAAAAGCACCCTAGAAACCAAGGCGATTGGTGGTCTGTTTCTTGCTGGACAGATCAACGGCACAACAGGATATGAAGAAGCCGCCGCGCAGGGGGTACTCGCCGGTATCAACGCCGGAAACGCAGCTGTGGGGCGCTCAGCTTTTGTCATGTCAAGAGCGGATGGATATATTGGCATTATGATTGACGACCTCGTCACCAAAGGCGTCAGCGAACCGTATAGGATGTTCACCAGCAGGAGCGAGTACCGCATGTCTGCTCGAGCAGACAATGCAGATTTGCGACTGACCGCGAAGGGTCGTGAGGCTGGTGTTGTTGGCGATCACCGCTGGTCTCGGTTCCGTGATGAAAGGGCACAGATGGACGAGCTACGAGCATTGCTGGAAGACAAGAAACTCAGCTCACAATCTTGGATTGAGCACGGCTTTCCCGTCCGAAGCGATAGCATCAAAAGATCAGCATTTGAGCTGCTCCGACATACCAATATCAACACTTCATCGCTGATGGAGCTCATCCCGGAGATTTCGAGCTACTCGGAGCGCATTCGAACTCGTCTCAGCATCGAAGGCGTGTATGCGCCGTACATCACCCAACAGGAGAATACAGCCGCAGCATTTGCGCGTGATGAAAGCCTCCTACTTCCGTCCAACTTGGACTATCAAGCGATTCACGGTCTCAGCTGGGAGGAAAAGAAGATTCTTAGCGAGACACAGCCGGAGTCTGTAGGTCAAGCACGCAGGATCGAAGGCGTCACTCCCTCGGGTGCACTTAATTTACTGGCTCATGTGAGGGGAACTTGGAAGAGGGAGAAGTTGTTGAAAGAAACGATGGAGTCATTGCCTCCAGGGAAGGAGGCCGAGACACTAGCCTGACAGCATCACAGCATGACAGCATGTAGGATGTGTCTCATGTTCACACTTTCAGAATCTCAGATGTACGCCTGGACGATGGTCAGCCGCATCTCATCTCTTCCAAGACGACCATTGACAGCGTGGAGGATGTACGCATGGAATAATAACCGAATCATCGGGTCKGTTATGCGAATACGCGCGGTCTGCCATGTGCCTTGACGTGGATCACAATGAGAGATTGTACAGCATTCATCACGCCGCAAGACTGTCCGTGTAATCTCTCCGTCTTACGTGATTGGGCCAAGGTAGCATCTCGACTAATAGCACATGCAAGCAGCCGCAGGAGGTACCTCCGGCGTGGTAAATGGTGCACAATTACCATCAATGCCGACATGTTCGCGCCGTCGTCCCCTGATCTTGGCAATGCCAGCCAGGGAACTGTCAGGTGGAGTCAACTACTACTGTACAGCCTACAGTATAGTTATCTGCACGATTTACGATCTAGCCTCACCTTACCGCGTGACCTCCACCTATTTACAGGCACGGGTATATGTGGATTCGGAGGCGTCCAGCGGCAGGTAGTGTGATCACGCCTCCATTCCGAGATACGTGTGTCGATGAAGCTTTTCATGTGCCAGCAAACACGATCGGTCAGATGGCAGAGCACAGCATGTGTTGTGCAGAAACAGGCTGGACAATTGACAGGATTCGTCCAGTACCTCCGCTTTGATCGCAGCCGCGAGATGCAAGCGGGATTTGACTGATTGGATGGAGCTAAACTTTATTAGCTGCAAAGCTCCCAATGCCTGTCGAATTGAATTCCACCTGTGATTCTTGATGAATGGGTGGGAGAGCATCAGTTTTGAGGATCTGAATATGGCAAGATCACCGGCTAGTTGAGCTGAATGCTCAACAAGACTGTCATGATCGCAACGAATAATGTGCAAATAACTCACCAAACGACTCTGGGGATGTTAGTCTTGCGTGCGCGGGGCATATGCCTGTAAAATCTGCGCGCTAGCGTCTGGGAGTACGTCTCGAAAAGGACGCTTATTTATGTCTGTGTGATCGGCACACGACACGATGATGTTGACGCACGCTGCATGAACTTCAATACCGACGCCTGCAGCTCGCTCGTTTGAGCTACATGTGCAGAGACAGACCCGCAGTAACCGCGACTTGTTGCAGCAATGTGCGACGGAATCTCAACGGAGCCAAATCATGAGTGAATGAAAATCCATGGTATGCGGTATCCGACAGCGTATCCCTTTGAATTGAAAACTCATCTCATCGACTTGGACATTGGTCGGAGGCATCAACAATGTTCAAGGAGAAGTTGCTGCTGTTTAATTAACGTGAATGAAGAACAAATGGGAAGGATTCATTTGGTAGCGTAATAATAAGCCGGTGCACCGATATTCTCAGCGGTCGAGGTGGACGGCCCGCAGGCCATGTGAGCTAGCAGATCTTGCACGGGCTTTCCATGATGATGCACTCTCGGAGGGTGGGTGAAGGTCCAAGCATAGCAGCGTGTGTGTTGAAGGCAATGGATGTGATTTTTGGGTAGAATCGTCTCCTGAGGAATAGGACATATCGCGCTTTACCGGCGATACTACGTAGCTTGGAGGTGGGTGGGCCTTTTGTTATTAAAAGGATGGAAAAAGCGCGTGCCAAGGTATGACGACGGAGGAGAGGCAGAAGGCAGCACATGACTTCAATCAAGTCAAGTGATGAGATGAGGTCCACTTGTGCTGTGGAGAATGAAGTTGTTAGCAGATCTAGAACTGAGTTAGTCGACCTGCCTGCCTCTGCTTCTGCCTCTCTCATCAGCTGGGAAAGGCCCTCCTACCAACCCATCCACCCACCTATACATCCACCCCTCTTTCCCATCTCACCGCACCACATCTGTCCACCCACCCACCACATCCAGCCCAGCCCAGCCCAGCATTGCTCGCGGCAGAATCTCCCCAGCGTTTCAAGCCTCTCACCCTCAGCCTCGCAGCGCAGCACGACCCCAAAACACCTTCGCGCTGCTGTTGCCGACTCGTACCTACCTTACACTCTTGCGCCGCTACATCCACACCTCACCACCGCCACCAATTCCACCCCGCGCACCGCTTCGACGCTCCAATAGAGCCTASCATCCGCATCGCCAGCCCCGCCGACCTCGACCTTGCTTGCCGACCCCGCCCACAACGCACCCATCACCACTCCCGCGACTGTGATCCCGCTCCAGTCCGGCTCGTCCCCTCCGCGGCAGCAAGACGCCGCGCACACCCCCTTTGCCGACCAGTGCACTATGTCACAGAGCCGTCCGTCGGCCTTTCAAAGCCTGAGAATGGGTGGTATGATGCTTCCCATCACACGTGACGACCATTGTGGGTGAGTGACGACTAACGCGTGTGCGCAGAGGTGATTCGCGAAAAGGTGCAGGATGGCTTGACCGGCGAGACGCGAGAGATGCAATACACGCAGTGCAAGATTGTGGGCAATGGCAGTTTCGGCGTGGTCTTCCAGACGAAACTGTCCCCCTCGGGCGAGGATGCGGCCATCAAACGGGTGCTGCAGGACAAGCGCTTCAAGGTGAGCACTACGCGCTCCCGCTCCTCTGCTGCCCTCGACGCTCACCATTGAATGCATAGAACCGAGAACTGCAAATCATGCGCATTGTTCGCCATCCCAACATTGTCGAACTCAAGGCATTCTACTACTCCAACGGAGACAGGGTGCGCGACACCGATAACAAAATGGGAATTCAAACAGCTCTGATCGCCGCGCAGAAAGATGAGGTCTATCTCAACCTGGTCCTCGAATTCGTCCCGGAGACCGTCTACCGGGCCTCGAGACACTTCAACAAGCTCAAGACCACCATGCCAATTCTGGAAGTCAAGCTCTACATTTACCAACTCTTCCGCTCGCTCGCCTACATCCACTCCCAGGGCATCTGCCACCGAGACATTAAGCCGCAGAATCTGCTGTTGGATCCATCTTCGGGAATCCTCAAGCTCTGTGACTTTGGCAGCGCGAAGATTTTGGTGGAGAACGAACCCAATGTCTCGTACATTTGCTCGCGATACTATCGTGCGCCGGAACTAATCTTCGGTGCCACCAATTACACCACCAAGATTGGTGAGTCGATGCAAGTTGCAACCCCGCTTTCACATGTCTAACACTTTTGCAGATGTTTGGTCCACGGGTTGCGTCATGGCAGAGCTCATGCTCGGACAGCCACTGTTTCCTGGAGAGTCTGGCATTGACCAGCTGGTGGAGATTATCAAGGTCCTTGGCACACCAACACGAGACCAGATTCGCACCATGAACCCGAATTACATGGAGCACAAGTTTCCCCAAATCAAGCCGCATCCGTTCAGCAAGGTATGCTTGTCCCGGGTGAAGTGGAAGCTGCGAAGCTAATTCTTGCAATCAGGTGTTCCGTAAGGCCGACCCCAACGCGATCGACTTGATTTCACGGTTGTTGGAGTACACACCGACACAACGTCTGTCGGCAGTCGATGCCATGGTGCACCCATTCTTTGACGAATTGAGAGATCCCAACACCAGGCTCCCAGACTCGCGTCATTCGAGCGGAAGCAGTAAAGATTTGCCCACCTTATTCGACTTTTCGCATCACGGTAGGCTTGCATCAATCTCCGTCTGAAACACGCAAAGGCTGACTTGCATTCGTAGAACTCTCCATTGCACCTCACCTCAACCACCAGTTGGTGCCAGCCCATATCAAGCCGGGTCTCGTGGCCAAGGGATTGGATATTGACAACCTTACACCATTGACCAAGGATCAGATGATGGCTCGTCTAGATTGAGAGGCAAACATCTGGCACGATCAGGTTTTTGATTTCGCCTCTCCAAAGCTTTCACGAAGTCACGCAGCGATTCATCATTGTCTTGGCGGCCACACCGGCTGCGGAGGCCGGCGTTCAAAGGACCTGGCGTCTTTGGCGCACTGGACAGAAGAGAATGCACTTCGCGGTGTCTCTCAACGAATGATGGACGTGCGCTGGTCCGGCTACTACTAGCAATTGTTGCCATGGGGTTGTGCTACTCACAAAGTAGATGATTTCTTCTCGGGAGGAGGTGGGCTCTGCGCCTCTCCTCTGCTCATACTCGGCGCGAAGGGAACTGCAAAAAAACAAAAGCTGCTGGGCTAATGAGAAGTTGAGAACCTTTTGACGTTTTTAGCTTGATGGTCATGGCATGGGAAAGATGTGGCTTTGATAGCCTGGTTCTGTGATGAATAGTTTAGCGGCCAGCGGGCAGCCGCATGCCACTGAGTGCATGGCAATGATTCCCATTGACTTTTCATCATTTCACCGTTGAAGCAACATTGAAAGAGCCTGGTCGGCCGCCACCATCATGTCTTGTATCATGTCCTGTAGGTCATCACTCTCAATTGACGGCCTCTTGGGCACGGCCGGTTTAGTGGAATCGTTCTAACCATCATTCGGACTAGATGTGCAAGATCTCGAGTAAGCCATCATCACCTCATCGTATCCGCTGACGTCCAGGTAAATATTGGTCGAGGCATCTGCACTGCTGTAATTTCGCTCAGATCTTCTGGTACCTTGAGGAAAGCATGGTCAGTCAGCTTCTTTTTGGAGACGTATGTATTCAAGGTCATGAACTGTCTGGCACCCGGTCCCTTGGAGGGAGGTACTGTATGATGAGGAAATCGCAAAAGTGGGAAGATTTCGTTTGGGATGATGTTTGAGGCAGTGTATGCTCATTCAAGGTCCCTTACTCTTTGCTTGTTCTCTGCTGGTTTTGGGGTTGTGCAGCTTCCTGAGCCAATTTCATGATCTTTGGAAGCAAGCTTCATTGGAGTCGCTTGATACCTACGGAAGGATGGATGGGGCGATCTGGAATCCTCAAGGACCGACCAAAGTACGCATGAAAGATACCTTACATTGCAATGTGGAATTTCCAGATCATTCGTGATGCAAGCAGTACATGTAGACATCTATCCTGCTTGCCTGGTATGCCGATCACGATAGCAGCCTTCCTTCACTTGCCTCACAGAAGTGAAGTAAGACTTGCAAAATCCGTGAAAGCAAGAGAATTATTGCTCGACCAGAGTCTCTAGATGCATTCTTTGGGTATGCAATATTCTACAGCAAATCATCATCTCATGCATGCAAAGTCGCTTGAACGCTATACCCCGACGCCTTTGCTAATTTCAATGGTGATCTCGAAAAAAAGGCCAACATATGATAAAAACCAGTGCTACAGCGTCTGCGCACATTGCTGTGAATCTCTCTCACTTCCTGACTGGGTCTTTCCAGCCCTCTGACTCTCCCAACACACCCAACCGACTCCAATATGCCGAAATGTCGTAGTAAAACAGTAAAAGTAGAATTTTCTTGCTCGTGTTACAAACTCCGTGATTTGATTCAAGTTCGGCCACTTTGTCTTCGCTTCGGACCATTTCCATCAAAGGTGGGTTCATCGTTTCCTCGCTTCCTACCACGCGGCGCCTGATTGGCATCATCACGAGGACCTCTGGATTCTCTTCGATCATCTTCCCGACGTGGTGGGCCTTGTCCTCCCCTGAATGCCTCCCTAGGCGGGCCTGAATTGTTCCTACCTTGATCCCAGCCTGGCTGAGCATCTGGAAGCGGACGACGATTGTGCGGCTCATCCGAACGTTGCTGTCTCTCACCACCTAAACTGCGACGGTCATTCGGTCTGTGCTGGTTATCCCTAGAAGCCCTCTCATCGTGTGGTCTACGCTCATCACGAGGACCACGTCGATCTGGAGCTCCCGGGGGTGGACCTGGTGGTGGAGGCGGTACAGGTGGTTGCCTGATGAATTGAGAATCACCTGCATCGGGTCGCCTATCACGGCTCGGGTCACGGCTGCTGTACTGACGATCATCTTCGCGACGTCGATGTCCAGAGTCGTCAGGTTTTGCTCCAAAAAGATCGGGACGACCGTGAGATGGCCCTGTGGAAGGCTCATCGAATTGTGGGCGGCTTGGAGGGCCATCCATACCGGCTGAAACCACTGATGCTGCACGAGGACCCTTTGCCGGACCGGCAGTACTTGATTGGCGTGCAGCGCCTCTAAAACTGACGCCCTGCCCAGAGGATGCTGACGTAGCGCCGGTGATACTGTTGATACTTTGATGCTGCCGACGTATTTGGCCGGATCCTGCAGGCCCGGACGGAGGGGCGGGAGCAGGTCCTGTCGGCGTGCCAGAGGGAGGTCCGCCACGTGCAGTTCCACGTGGCCCAGAAGGTGCAGCCGATGTTGGAGAGCTGAGGCTCCGCGGTGCATTTGGCGTCGGGAACTTTGTCTGAATTGGAGATGGCTGGGATGTTTGACCCAAGTGAGGCAATCGACTTGGGTGAACGGAAGGCCCAGATTCAAGGACCGGAGTACTTGGCGTGGAGGGCGCTGCGGCGTGTCGCTCATTGTGCCCGCTTGAATGGCGAGAAAGTCCTCCCCGCGATGGAGCAGGTTCGGGAGCGCGTGAGGTGGTTGGCGAAGGCAAGGGCACATCATTTGCACGAGGTCCAAGCGGAGGCGCGGTAAAGTTGCGCCCGCCACGACTTGGACCGTTGGGCTGCCTAGGCCCAGACGGAGCATCCGAAGTGTTGAGTCGCCCATAACTCGACTCTGTCTGCGGTGGTCCCATCTCACGATTGTTCAATTTGCCGCCACGTTTGTCGTGATGGTGATCCGAACGTGGTGGAGCATCGATAGAACCCCTCCCGCTCTGTCGACTTTCAGAGCGCGGTGGATATGCAGGCGGCGCCCCGGGTTCTGCTCTCGGCTCTCTCTCCCTTCGCTGATCTCTCTCCACATCTCGACCTCCCCGAGGGCTGGAAGAGTTGGATGTCGAGTCGTTGTTGATTAACGCCAAGCGCTCAGGGTTAACACCATGGGCAACAGCAGTGGGAGGTGCCTGAGGAGGTGCTGGCGCTCTGGAAGCAGGTCGCGGCGAAGAGTTGCCGTGTACTGCGGAGACATGCCCCATTCTATCGGGATGGATAGCTTCAGCCATCCGACCGTGCTCATGGCGATCACGAGTCTCATTGTGGGGTCGTGAGTGCTGCGGCGGAGGTTCTCTACGAGATCCAGGCCATCCGTCATCACGCCCACCACGGCTGTCTGGTCCGGGACGATCGACGGGCCGCTCGAAGTATGACCTTCCAACACCAGGAGGTGTTCTTCCACGGCTGCGATGACCGGGCGGTGAGTGATCTCTAGAAAGAGGTCGGGCTTCAGGTGGACGATCAAGCCTGCCAACCGATCGATCGTCTGGACGACCAGGCAATCCCCTACCTCCTCTGCCCGAAGCAGACGATGGAGCTTGTGGCGGTCCGGCCTCTGGACGAGATGGCAGGTTAGGTGGAGGCCCTCTCGAATTGCTTTGATGGGTGGAAGCTGGTCGGGATGACTCTAATCTGGGCGGTACACCCGCGCTTGGAGGGGGTCGGGAACGACCTGGCGCTGGTGTAGACGGCTTGGACTCTGCTTTCGCTTTGTCCTTTGCGATGCCAGCAGAGGAGGACTTTTCTTCATTCTCGCTCTTGACGTCCTTCATCTCAGTATCCCCATCCTTGGCATCCTCAATCTCACCATCCTCTCTGCCACCCACCGTTGACTCTTTTCTCCCATTCGTCAAGTGCGACACCGATGGCTTGAACTCAGGCGCCGTTGCACTGAGCTTTGGCTCGGCGGAATCATTCTCTGGCTGAGCAGAAGCTGGCCTGCTTCCGGGCTTCGCAGCATCTTTCGGATCGTTAAGCCTAAAGGCTTGTGGAAGTACCCAGTGCTTATCTCGGTTCTTGAGAGGACCGAGCAACGACATGGCTGCAAGTTTGAGATCCGAACGCGGGTCTTCGGCAGATATTTTCTGAACGTTCTCATACAATGCCTTGCCCATGAATTTGACCGCTGGGAACACCTGGTGAATTCCCTTGAGGGTAATGATGCCATTACGAATGTGCATGTACTCGCCTGATTGGAAGCAAGCAAGGAGAGCACCGTTGATGTGAATGTGGTAGTTGTACAAGATTCGGCGGAAGTTTTCAAACTCCAGAACAGTCTTTGGCTCCCCACTCTCATCAAAGGTGATGACGAAGCCTCGCAGCTTCGTCTTATCGCCAAGTGCCTCCTTTTCATACGTGGCTTTGTCTGCGTGCCATCGATGAAGCATCTTGAGAGTCTCGCAGAGGAAGCGTGCGAGGTGCTGCGCTTCGTTGGCAGTGCACTGGAAAAGTAAAGCCGCCAGTTCATTCTTCTTGAACAAGTGGTGAATGAGATGCATCAGGCTGAAGCCAGGCGTGGCGTTATCGTGCATCAGCTTCAGCATCAGGAAAGAAAAGTGCGCATCGACTGATGAAAGAATGGCTCGCGGGATGAAGCACTCCTGCAAGAGTCCAATATACTTGGCATCTTTCTCGGCTTTTGTCTCGTGAAGGTTGTTGGAAAACCAATGGAGGTTTTCACCTTTGCTGATTCGCTTTCGAACGTCGATGAACGCAGCCAGTTGCTGTGCGGGCTCGCTTTTCAGCTTATCGTACCACTCCTGAAGGACCTTGCGCTTGCGGTCGCGTTCTCTAGAGGCGATTGCGCTGACATCGGAACGATCATTCATGATTTCTTTGATTTGATGCTCCAATCTCGCGACTTCGTGGTTGTAGCTGTCGATGGGGACGTGAACATCTCCAGAGGACAAAGTCCAGAAGGAGACGTAGAATGGCAAGCTGACCCTCGTACCCAGGTCAGGTAGTATGCTGGACAGACCGTCGATGACCGGCTCGAGTACGGGATGCCACGGGCTTGATGTCGCCGAGCTGGTGTTGTTGACTGCCTCTTCTGGAGTTGTTGCAGCTGCCTCGGCAATTGCATTTTCTGCAACATCCTTCATGGCTGCATCGCCACCTGCGTCCACAAGATCCTGCGCAATCTTCTCCTTTTTCTCATTTCGCTCCTCTTGTTTCCGCGTTCGATCAATATCATCCATACGGCCCCGCAAAGCAACACGACATATTGTCAGCGCAACTCCTGGCTCCAAGCCGAATTCTTCAACCAAGCTGATGGCATTTGGTACTGATGCTTCAAACTCTTCCGGCTTCAAATTATTCCTCAACACGTCAAGGTATTGCGCAAAGACTGCTTGGATCTTGTCGACATTGTTGCCAAGTACTTTCAATGGCATGGTCGTGGCATTCGGGATTGAAAGCTGGGTCTCATTGGTGCGATGCTGATACATTTGGCGTTCCTGAGCGATTGCAACCAGGCACTGGCCGATGAGTCCTGGTTCTGAAAGAGCCTTGATCAGCCGCTTGGCGGACGCCTTTTTCACATGTCTCGTATCGGACAGCTGTTGCATGATGTGGCTTTGCAATAGTTCTCCACCTGCCATGGCAACGACTTGAGAATCGTTGAACTCGACATCAGAACGAATGCCTGCCATTTCCGCCAGCATTTGCTCGAACATTTCCAGATCTGTAGAGTTCCCAACCCGTAGCTCGGATGCAAGGTATTGCAGTAATGGCGATGGGTTGAGATGCGTGTAGCGTGTGAATAGTGCCGCAACGAATTGTGACAAAGCTTGAAGCCAAGGGCTTGTGAGCATTCCGTCTGCTTGGATGCGGCTTCGACCAGCGCCGCGAAGAGAGTTGATCAGAGACCACGTCAAGACGTCGTAGGCTAAAGAGGAGAAATAGCGAGTGCACTCAACCAAGGCCGGGATCATGTTGCTGTAATTTTCCAGCTGGCTGATCATTTCTGCCATGACCACTCCAGGAGAAGCCAAAGACACCTTCCCCAGTGCTCGTGATTGCTTCTTGCCAGTGTCGTTGGATACCCGGCGGAGGACATCCTTGACTTCTGCCAAATTCCGTGCAAGGGCTGTCTTCATCTCTGGCATGGTTGTGACTTTTCGGCTGGTGAACCACTCGGCGTATACATTGTACCTGGTGGATGTTGGGAAGAAGCGGAGAAGATCAAAGACCTGCTGTGCGAGCTGAGGATTGTGCTTTGAGCAGCTCAAGGCGGGAACGAGCAAACGCTTCATCAGATCTAGCCATCGAGCATGATTTGAGGTTGATGAATCCTCTGACATGCTCTTGTGAGCGAGTCGCAGCAGGGTGCCGTAGAGCTCGACGTCTTGTCCAATCTTGACCCCAAGAAAGCCAAGGAATGTGCTGCACAAGAGGAAGACGTCGTCAAGATTCTGACATATCGGCACATTGTCGCTCCAGTCTCCGTAATAATGCTTGTACTCGAGTCCGTCGTCCTTGTCGAAGCAGTCGTTGTGCAGCCATCTGGTGACCTTTTTCGTTGGTCTTGTTGTGACTGAAAGGGTGCCATCGGGTCGCGGAGTTGTGTCAACTAGCTGATCTTTGGAGTCTGAAAGTCCTACTCGTCCATCCAGGGGTTTGAGGGATGCAGCAACTTTGCTCAGCATTTGTTTGGCAATTCGAAGGAGGAACGGAGGTAAGGATATGTCGACATCTGCGAGCCATGGGAAGCGCCCCAGAATGTAGAGTGCCTCGGGGATTGCACCGATGAGAAGCAGAGCTCGAAGGAGCAACAACTTTTGGTTTGCAGGAGTTGGCAACTCCTCCTTGGCATCTTCCTTCTTCTCTTGTGCTGGTGTGGCACCGCCGCTCTTTTCCTTGTCGATTCGAGACCCGCGCGTTGGTGGAGCAAGGTCGTCCACGAGAGCGCCGGCCATCAACAGAGCGTTCATCCCTCCGCCTGGACGATCTTTGGCATCTTTGTCAGCCTTTTCCTTTTCAAGCCGGCTCTTCTCCCCCTTCATCTCCTCATCCGAAGGGTGGAGATGTGGGTAGAGATCTCGAAGGGAAATGAAGCCAATCTTGATGAGGAGCGCGGCTAGGTAGATGACATTATCGGGAAGTGAGTCGGTGGCGTCGCGCGCCGAAGAGGCGTAGAATCGCAGCTTGAAGCCGAGTAGCTGTGCGGCATCGTAATTYCCAGAAGGTGGCAAGCATTTCGTCTCATGCATGTACTTGCGATCCTCATTCAAACGCTGTCGCTTGTTGGAGTTGCTTTCCTTGCCCCGAGAATCCAGCTCGGGTTGAGCTTCGGTTGATAGTAGAGGGAGGATGGCTTCAAAGTCTACAATCTTCCTCGCTCCCAGCTCGAAGAATGCATTCATACCGACCTCTTGCACGCGCTGCCAGAAGAGAACATCGCGAGCTTCTCTCAGCTTAACCATTTGCTCTTTATCCTCATCGCTGGAGGCTGACCTCCCAGAGCCAGGAAGTGCCCAATTTGGTAGCGAGCTGAAACCCTGATCCTCCCACTTGATGTTATCAAGTTGTTCATTGTCAGGCCACCAACTGCTAGCGCGGTAGAACTTGATGAAGAACGGGTAAGCCTTGACCAACAGGTTGGCGCTGACATCGAGGGTGATGTCCAGCACTCTGCCGGTGTCGAGGTCAAAGGCTCCCACCAATGCCTTTACCCGTTGGAATGCCTCTTCCGCCATGTATGGATCCTCATCCCGCCGACTGCTGGCCTCCTKGGCGGTGTTGAAGTATTCGGTGATGAGTTTGGCATAGCCTTCGCTCTCCTCGCGGAGCAGATTGAAATTTGCCTGTCGATAGAGTGCATTTGTAGTCTTACGGGTGCGCACCCTCTCGAATGTACTCCTGACAAGCTCAAGTTCTTGTAGCATAGGAATGTCGAGTTCCTGGCGTAGTAATTGCTGATCGATACCGGTCGCCGCAATCATCTCTGCAAGACCAGGTCCTTTGTGGTTTGCCTCGTACAAGAATGAGATTGTATTGATGAAGATGAAGGTCACGTCGACATCTTGTTGAGCCGTGATGAGGTCGCGTACAAAGAGACCCGCCTGCTTGCCGGTCAAACGACCATCAAGTGCAGATCGTACAAGCYCCAAAAGCACATCATTGATTGCCATGTCGTCGGAACTGGAGGCAGAGCTGAGCACTGTCTGGGCTCCAGAGTCTGCCCATGTCGATACAACATCATCGGTGATGTGTACGTAGCGATGTTGCTGCTTCCCGTTGACAGCATGGTTTCCGTTTGTGTGTGCTACAGTATCGGCTGCTGGTGTACCCGCCGCGGAATTTGCCATTTCCTCGTCTTCCACATCCACAGCCTTGCCTCGAGATGCGCGCCTTGATGTAGACGCAGCAGCGCTGCTCTTCTCTGCCGGCTTGTATGGAGATGGTCTGCCTGGACCTTCATCTTCAGACGGCTGTGGTTCGTTCCGCTTTCGCTTGCCAGGCGGCATCGTGGTTGAAGAGGCTTCAGATGGTGGGAGAGATGGAGAGTCTCGCAGCTTCGAGCATGTGAGTCGGATCGGGGTCCTCAATTGCGCGGGGCGCAAGTTGGATCGCGGCGCGCAATCATCCGATGGGCACCGATGGGAGAATTCGTGACAGTTATCCGGCGCGTCGTAAAGGATGAGGGGTGTGATGTAAGTGTAGGTAGGTCGTGTTCACCAAAGGTAGGTGTCCAACGCCTGACTGTAAAAATACTAGCGCCGGGAATCGCTCCGGCCCTTTTTTAGCGACAATACCTAGAAATCGTTCCCACACACTCGCACGTGCTGAAAATGAACTGTTCAGTACCTTGTGGCTCTTCAGTCACCAGATTCATGTCACTCCATTGCTCATACTCCTCGCGGAGGCCCTTCAATGCTTGCTCTACCGACACGAGGGAGGATGGGCGCAGAGATGAGAGGACAGACGACGGGCAGATTGGGCTGTGTGTACTTTTCACCAACCCATGAGCATCCACGAGGCACACATTAATGCCTTGGTCGTGGTCTTTTCGCGAGATGAATACTTCGTACTGGAACAAATTGGCGTACCGAGTGCTATACTGTAGATTTCGGCCTCTAAGGTTGTAAGTACGTGTAGACGATGTTACGACTTCTTGACATTCGGTACTTCCTCGTGGAGTGGTTGCCTAAGGTAACTCTTGCACTGGAGCCTGTTCTCTATCAAGAGTCAAGACGAGTTCAAATCTCGTGTTGAATGTACTTCGTACAAAGTACTCTCTCGCAAAGCGCGTCCTCTTCACGCGCCTGGTCGCGTCTCGCACACTCGCCACCGCCACCCGGCTCTGTCGATCATCCCTGTTAATTTATGAACCGGARCACCGAGTGAGTTACCTACCTAATCTCCAGACACTCACCACCATTCGGTGCACCCTGCACACCACACTCTTCCTCCCCTCCACAACATCGACCATCATGGCGAGATCTACCTGGAAATCCCTTGCCAGAAAAGGCAGTATGTCTTGCCCGCGATCATCCCTCTGCTTCCTTGCAGAGTCACAAGAAATCCAAGCAGCCACAATTGCCACACATTTGTACTGACACACCTATCCCTAGCCGAAGGCACCACACTGCCACCTCCCCGAGCTCCCCGTCGAACTGTTCAGTCAAGACGCACAATTGCAGACTCGGAAGGAAGTGACGACGAAATCGTTGTACGCTCCTCCTCTCGAATCGCAAAAGGTGTCGCTTTGCCAAAGATCTCTGCAATGGAGCGATCTTTGTTTAAGAAGGAGAAGGCATCCCACAGTTCCAACGATTCCGTCAAGTCATCAACCTCCAACACATCACGAGAGTCTTCCCTGGGTATTGATACCCCAGGCACAACACCGGCAATGTCCATCCGCGAGACTGGTGTATCGAAACGTAAGAGATCGTCGCTTGGAAAGATGCTGCTCAAGATTGAAGATTCGGAGGAGGAGGAAGATGAAGACGATGTGATATTGGCAATGCGTCTACAAGAGGAGGAATACGCCCTGGGAGGTGCTTCAGAGCCGGTCAAGAAGCGGACAAAGATGATGATTGAGGACTCCGAGGATGATGATCCGCTCAGTGAAGTACGCATCCGAATACGTTGTGACATGGGAATCGAAGGCTGACCATTTAGCAGCTTGAATCGATCAGCTCGATTGATGTCCCACTGRGAAAGACGGTTTCGAAGCCGCGGTTTTCAAACGCTAAGAGCGTCAAGGCAGAGGCATCCCGCGGTAGGAAGACTCGTATCGCAAGCATTAAGGCCCGCTCATCGATCAAGACGAAGATTGAGGACAGCGAAGAAGACGGACTTGGTGACAGTGATGAATTTGAAATTGCAGACTCAGAGGAGGCAGCATCAACCGGTGGTAGTGAAACCGAGTCCGACGTTCCTTTGGCATCCTCGACTGCACGATCTCACGGCCGCGCACGGCCTGCTCAACATGGCAACATCACCACAGCAGGCGCTCAGGCTATACGCGCAGACCTGACTAGTATCATGACGAGAGGCGATCGCGCTCGTGCTAAGCGCACAGAGCGTGAGCGTAAGAAGTTGGAGAAGGCGCATCCAGTGATCAAGACGATGTGGAAGGATTTGGAGAAGATTCCCGTCATCAAGCCAGTTCCAGCTGAACAGCCGACCAGCATCAACCGAAAGCTGAAGCAGTTTCAACTTGAAGGCCTTAACTGGATGATTCGACAGGAAAAGACCGAATACAAAGGAGGCCTTCTGGGTGATGAAATGGGCATGGGCAAGACAATCCAAGCAGTCTCTCTCATTATGTCCGATTGGCCACAGAAGGAGCCAACTCTTGTTGTGGTTCCACCGGTTGCTCTCATGCAATGGTCGGCTGAGATTACAGATTACACCGATGGCAAGCTCAACGTGCTCGTATACCACGGACAAAATGGCAAGGTCAAGAACATGAACCAAAAGGAGCTGAAGAAGTTTGATGTCATCATGATCTCATACAATTCACTGGAGTCCCTCTACAGGAAGGAGACGAAGGGCTGGACTCGCGGAGAGGACATCATCAAGGAGGACTCGCCCATTCATGCCATCAAGTTCCATCGTCTCATCCTGGACGAAGCCCACAGCATCAAGTCACGCACGACTGGTGTTGCAAAGGCATGCTTTGCTCTGTCTGGCACTTACAAGTGGTGCTTGTCCGGAACGCCCGTACAGAATCGCATCGGCGAATTCTTCTCGTTGCTCAGATTTCTGGAGGTCCGCCCATTTTCAGAGTACTTTTGCAAGCGTTGCCCTTGCCATATGATACATTGGAGTCTGGATGAGGAGCATCGTTGCAAGGAGTGCAAGCATACTGGTATGGAGCATGTTTCGGTATTCAACCAGGAGCTGCTCAATCCCATCACGCAGTCTGAGGAAGCGAGCGATCGTTCTGCTGCAATGGACAAGCTGCAGATGATCACAGCTCGCATCATGCTTCGTCGGGTGAAGCGTGATTACACCAGCTCGATGGAATTGCCGCCCAAGGAAGTCATCGTTCACAATGAATTTTTCGGCGAGATTGAAAAAGACTTTTCCTCGTCAATCATGACCAACACCGCACGCACGTTCGACACCTACGTCTCTCGTGGGGTCATGCTCAACAACTATGCCAACATTTTCGGTCTGATCATGCAGATGCGTCAAGTTGCCAATCATCCTGATCTCCTGCTGAAGAAGCATGCTCATGAGGGGCAGAACGTGCTTGTTTGTAACATCTGCGACGAGGTGGCTGAGGAGGCCATCCGCTCACAGTGCAAGCACGACTTCTGCCGCGCTTGCGTCAAGAACTACATGCAAGCTGTCGAGAATGACGGTGGCGAGGCTGATTGCCCACGTTGTCACATTCCCCTCTCGATCGACTATGACCAGCCGGAGATTGAGCAARACGAGGATGTTGTCAAGAAGTCATCCATCATCAATCGCATCAAGATGGAGGATTGGACCTCTTCGACGAAGATTGAGATGCTCATCTACGATCTTTACAAGCTGCGCTCGAAGAAGCAGACGCTCAAGTCCATCATTTTCTCGCAGTTTACTTCTATGCTGCAGCTGATTGAGTGGCGTCTGCGTCGGGCAGGCTTCAACACGGTCATGCTTGATGGCTCCATGACTCCAATCCAGCGGCAGAAGAGTATTGAGCATTTCATGACGAACCCAGAGTGCGAGATCTTCCTGGTGTCGCTCAAGGCTGGTGGTGTGGCTTTGAACTTGACGGAAGCTTCCAGAGTATTCATTGTTGATCCGTGAGTGCGATCGAATATCATGATGCTTGATGCATGATGCATGGTACATGGCTAATTTGTTTACAGTTGGTGGAATCCAGCAGCTGAGTGGCAGTCGGCCGATCGCTGCCATCGCATCGGGCAGAGACGTCCTTGTGTCATCACACGTCTGTGTATTGAGGATTCGGTGGAATCTCGTATGGTGGCCCTCCAAGAGAAGAAGGCCAATATGATTAATGGAACGATCAACAACGACAAGTCCAGCATGGAGAAGTTGACGCCAGAGGACATGCAGTTCCTCTTCCGAGGAACTTGATGGGGAGAAGTGGATGCATGGAATAATGTTATGATGGGCGACCTGGCTTGGCGGAATGGGATTGATGGAGTTTATGATTATGAGATATCCCACGCATGGCGCTGACAGTAGCTGCGAATGTACAGAGTAGAATATTGACGTTATGCCAATGAGCCCACATTTTGAGCCTCTGCATCTCCACCAGTAGCCCCACAAATGAGGGTCCTCGAGGGATCCTCCTCGGGACCTCTTTGTCCCTCACGATGGCTTGACAGGGACTTTCGTCTTGAAGGCAAGCAGACAATCCAAACTCGAGCCAGACTCTTCGAATCATTCCATGATATGAAGAAAGTGTGCTAGGAAAGCAGAAATGAACACGCACGCCGAGACAATCTGACGTACGACCAAGACCCGTGGCGCATATTGAGGAATCCTTCGCCCCATCAACAACCAACGAGACCGAATACATGCCGCGAGCCAAGAGCTACACAAAGGCAGAGCGGCAACTTCGATCCTCTAGGCGTTGTACATAAGTTATACGCCTCCACGTGTCGTTTACCATTCAATATCGTTGTGCCCTTTTCCCATCAAATCATGTTGCGAACACTATCCTTGGCACTCCTTGCTGGGCTTGTCACAACGACCTCGCTTCATGGACGTCAAGGACGGGAACCTTGTGCTGAGCTGAATGATGATATCAGAGGATATGTACCTGCTGAGATTGCTCTGGCATGTTTACGATCCATACCATTACAGCCTGAGCAAAGGCTACGAAGGCAACTTGCTGGACTTCGATCGATTGTTCAGTTTCAAAGCGACTTGGAATACCTCAACAGCGGCGACGACTTTCCCGCACGTCTGTACCCGAATGTGGATGTTCTGGGTGGTTTGGACACTCTAGAGGATCGGATCACTGATGGCTTTTACGGAAATGAATATGATTTCCAGCTGGATATTAGCAGGCTGTTTGCATCGGCGTATGATGGCCATTTTGCATATGTTGCGGATATTGTGGATGTTTTCAATTTTCAACGAAGAGCGGATGGGATGGCCTACCGTTTGATTTCCGTGTCGGAAGATGGTACCACACTGCCGGAAGTCTACGCAGCAAGTGATGGGGCAGCGTTGGCTAGCGGAGCAGGCTATGAGCCATCTTCCATTTCTGAGATCAATGGCCAGAGTGCGGATGACTTCCTCAATATGGAAGCTTCCTTGACTGGAGTATTCCAAGACCCGGATGCGAATTTCAACAGGTTGTTCCAGCGAACATATGCCCAAGGAACTGCTGGTGGTGCATTCGCGATACCAGGGACTCCATTCTTTGGATCGGCAGATGATACTGAGCTTACCTTTCGTAACGGATCAACACAGACTTTGCAGATGGTGGCCGGAACGACTCTCAACCTGAGAGGTGTCTCCAATGCGGATGACTTCTTCCAGAGATGCTGCAGCGGGAACCCAGTCATTGAAGAGTTCTCCACAGTTCTGGAGCAGATTGAGCTGATCTCCGAGATGAAACTGGAGGAGTCGTCGAAGAAGCGACTCAAGGCTCTCGTGGGACCGAAGATTGCGCACGATGTATCCAAATCTACTTTGTTCTCGACTTCCATCGCAGGATCACACGTCATCAGACAGGCTGATATTGTTGAACCCGACCCGATGTCAGATCCTGTAATCAGTACGGAAGATGGATCCTTGATTGGGTATTTCCCTGAATCTGAATCCGACTTGGCTATCCTCGCTTTGACGACGTTTGCAGTTGGGTTGCCCACCAGCAATAGTACAATGGCTGGGTTCGATCAGCAGGCAGTGGAGGATTTCCAGATTGCTCTGGAGTCGTTTCTCGATGAGGCGAGCGATGCTGGAAGAAGCCGACTCATCATCGACCTTCGAGGGAATCGTAAGTTGTCTTGTGGCTGTAGTAGCATCTTGACATACGTGCTAATTTTGATCATCAGCGGGCGGGTTGGGTTTCCTGCCTCACCAGGTCTTTCGCCACCTATTCCCTACCACAGAGCTCCCTTACCAAGGAAGCAATCTCAGAGCGCATGATCTGTTGGACTTTGCTGGGCAAACGATTACGGACTTCTTCTCCACCGACGTGTCGGCCACTTTCGAGGAGCTTCGTCCGACGGTTGGAGTCTTTGCCTTTGATGCAGCCCAGCAATTGGACGAGTCCAACTCGACGTAAGCAGGCTTCTCGTAGATACATACTTGGTACTGACTGTACGCTTAGATTCGATTCATGGTCAGACTTCTTCGGCCCAGTCCAGGTCCCATCCGTCGACGGAGATTTCACAGCTACTGCCGGGACCAACTACTCTGATCCGGAGCAGACTCAGCCGATTGACCTGGCCACACCCTTGAGATCTCGACAGCAAGTTTTTGAAGCGGAGAACATTGTTTTACTGTGAGTTGGCCATGGTATCACCTGCAGAATCTTCCCAAACTAATGATGAAACGCAGTCAAGATGGAGCATGTGCCTCAGCTTGTGCACTCTTTACTGAATTCATGAAGACYAGTGCACCAGACGGTCCTGTCCGACAAGTCGTGACTGGTGGAAGATCTCAAACAGGACCAATGCAAGGAGTTGGAGGTGTGAAAGGCGGTCAACTGGCTCCAATGTTGCAGCTTGGCATAATCCTCCTTTCCGGAATCACGATTACCCCTCAGACATTGACCGACTTCCGCGATGGATTTGGACGTGATGCGATTCCTGAATTTGTGGAAGCTCTCAACCGGAGTAGTACTGTATCTGCTGCTGTCAACTATCGGAACTCGATTCGAGAGAATGATGAGAGTGTGACCCCGCTGCAGTACATTTWTGAGGCCGCCGAATGCCAAATCTTCTACACGCCGAGAATGATGGCCTCCCCAGATGCCGTGTGGCAGAGGGTGTATGAGGTGGCATTTGGTGGCCAACAAGATACCTGTGTGGAAGGATCGACTGGACATCCCTCCGCTGGCGGTGGAACAGACTTTGGTATCAACGTTCCGGACGATGCAGCCAGTAGTGTTGGCCTCACTCTCAGCAATGTCAGCGATGTCAGGAGTGGTGGCGGTAGTGGTAACAGTGGCGGTCAGGGGTCGGGAGAAGAGTCTGAAGAAGGTGACAATGAGGAGAGCGGCGCAGTAATAGCAAAGACCTCGGCTGCGGGTATTCTGGTGGCTCTCGTGGCTTGCTTGCTGGCGTAGTCGAATTCATGAATGTATGAACCAGTGTGGTATGTAATGCCACAGCTCGACCATGATCAAGGCAGTCGCGCATCTTTGTGTATGAATGAAGTCGATGTTGATCAAGCAATAGAGTTCTCGAAGTGGATTGAACATGCAGTGTACCAGAGACGCGGCACGCTAGTTCTAGCGTGGACATGGGGCTGGGGCCACTATCTCCGAAGCGCCGCTCGTACGTGACCACATGATCCCCATCATCGTTTATACCACTCCCCACACAATCCCTACGACAACATCACAATGACTTCTGTAGCCAGCAAGCGTCTCTTCCAGGAATACAAGAACCTCTCGCTTGAACCTCCGGATGGCATCACCGCCGGGCCCGTCAACGAAGATGACCTCTTCTTATGGGAAGCCATGATTGAAGGACCCGAAGGCACACCTTTTGAAGGTGGTGTATTTCCAGCGGAGTTGAAGTTCCCGCGAGATTATCCCCTCATGCCGCCGACAATGAGATTCACCGAGCCAATCTGGCATCCAAACGGTACGCACGGACTGACTACAGTCGAGACGGCTGACCTGACATGACAATAGTATACCCGAACGGTGTAGTCTGCATCAGCATCCTACATGCTCCCGGCGAGGATCCGAACCATTACGAAACCGCTAGCGAGCGTTGGAGTCCGATTCAGAGCGTGGAGAAGATACTCATATCCGTCATGAGCATGATTGCAGAGCCTAATGATGAAAGTCCTGCGAATATTGACGCCGCGAAGATGTGGCGGGAGCGGAGAGAAGAATACGAGAAGCGGGTGCGCGCAGATGTGCGGAGGAGTTTGGGATTGTGAGGATGGTATTGAATTTAGCAAGGCGCACGGGACGGTTGCATATGCGTGTTGGAATGGTTGGGAGCATCTCAAGCGAAGCCATGCATCTCAAGATCAGAGGAATAGCTGTGGTGAGCAATGAGTATGCCCATATAATATGCATGAGTTTACCGCAGCCATTGGAACATTCGGAGGGTCGATTTCGATGGGCGCTGAAGATTGAGTTCTTCTAACGGGATTCACTGTTGAATGCCTCTTCACATCGATGGGCTTCCTTGATCTGAATTGTTCATCTTCCACGGGCTTGATCTTGGTAGCGTCGTTGTCGTTCCTCTGGCTGGCCTCGCTGACGAATCGACAAACCAAACTCCATGTTCGGCCTCTTGTCTGCCTTGGCCGACATGGCTCGAGACCCCAACAAAGTTTGCATCTGGTTTCCATGACATTTCTGCAGATGCCGAAACGGATGCTGAACGGGACTTCAGTTGTGGGGATGGAAGCGGCAATGGAAACGGTACAACGTTTATCCGCAGCGACTTCTTGGACGCTATACTGATCAACACTCTGGACAGCTCGGATCGGACAAGATTGAAAAAAGCACATCAATTGCAGTCTACTCAATACCATTGAATGATTCAAAAGTGTACTGATGTCGAAGGTGGACAATACGTGGATGGTCAAGCCGCCGTTTCAACCTGCTTTTTACCCTAGCAACCACGCTCACGGGTGTATACAACGTTCTGACAATGACCGATGAAGTCAACCAACAACGTTTTCATTCATGTCGTTCTAACGTAGCAGTTGCTCATCTTCTGAATGTCTATAACAGCAACATTCCGCCCCGCACTTTTCGATATTATCCTCATCACTCTCGTTCATTGTCAAAGCACTCCTTCAAGACACCATCCACCAATCAGTACACCAATACATTAATACATCAACACATCCATACATCAACACATCCATACATCAACACATCAGTATGCGTTTCGTTCCAATCATTGTGGCTGCCAGCAGCTTTGCATACGCTGGTACCATTCAAGTTCGTGGCGAATCAGCTGCAGTACAGTACAACGCATACAATGCATACAATACTCCACCGCCACCACCAGCTCCAGCGCCAGCACCACCAGCTGAGAACCACGGCCCGCCTGCCGAATCACAAGCTCCACCACCAGAGACTCATGCTCCTCCTCCACAGAACCACGGCAAGGTTCCAATGTACGGGCAGTGTGGTGCTGGAGAAGGCAAGTGGGATGGTCCTACAGAGTAAGTTCGAACATCTTCCAAAACGGTACCTTCCTAACAGCAAATAGATGCTCCGAGGGAACTTGCCACAAGCAGCAACAATACTACAGTCAATGGTAGGTACAAGAAGCAGATTCTTATCGAGCCATGGCTGACTTTGATACAGTGTGCCCGAGGGAAATTCCAACGGTGGAAAGGCTCAGCTGTACCAGCAGTGTGGTGCTGGTGAGGGCAAGTGGGATGGACCTCGCGAGTAAGTTCATGATAAACAACCCAGAAAGTTCCAAAAGACTGACCCTTTGAGTAGATGCTCCGAAGGTACTTGCCATAAGCAACAGCAATACTACGAACAGTGAGTAGTGGGGTGTGATGTATTTGGTGATAGGATGAGGACTCACTGTACTTTTCCCACTAGATGTGTACCAAGCAACGTGCCACTCTATGGACAATGCGGAGCAGGTCACGGGCAATGGAATGGTCCAACTCAGTAAGTTCAATCCTCCTGAAACTTATGCATGTCTTGCTAACAACATTCCAGATGTGCCGAGGGTTCATGTATGGCGACTCAAGAGCTGTATTCTCAGTGTTTGAAAGAGGCTCCCCCGAAGGATAACTCTCCACCACCTTCACCAGAGAAGGAGACACCTGCACCTCCCCAACAACAGGAGACACCTCCCGCAATGGAGTACACGCCCTCCTCCCCGACGACCTCCCCACCCAAAGCCCAACAACAATACACCCGCCGCGACGACACCAAACTCCGCCAACTCTTCGGCTCCTTCACCGACAATGGTAAGCAATGAACTCTCGGCTCTACCGGGCGAACAATCAGGCACACAAAAATCTTTCCCCTCGGAGTTTTCCTCCTCCTCTCTTGCGATGATACTTTTTCGAAAGTTACCCTTCTTCTTCTTCCCTCCCATACTCATCAAATTCTCAGTGGGCACGAACTCCTATCCCGACACCCACTCCCGCGCGGCGCCGCTACTCCCTTTGGCCAGGGCGCAGAAATTCGCTCAATGCGGTGGGGCAGATTACAAGGGTCCTTCGGGTTGTGACAGTGGGTCGACTTGTAAGTATCAGAATGAGTTTTATTCGCAGTGTGTTCCTTTGAGCACGTAGATTTTATGCTGCTTCTTCTTTGGTGGATCAATGGATTGATTGATGGATTTGATGGATTTACGAAGGGCGGTTTGGAGCATATGGGTCTTAATTTTTGATACTTCCTCTTCTTCTTCATTGGTGGATTGATGGATTTGATGAATTGGAGAGGGGAGGTTTGGGGCTTTTTTCCGGCGGGTTCTCGACTTTCAGGACTTTTCCGTCCATACTTATTTCAGCTCTACAACATCTTCAATGTATATATCTTTTGGCCTGGTTGGAGAATCATTCGAGGTTCACTCTGTCTTTGGGACTACTGTGACATGGTACGAAGTGTTCATTCTGTGACGTGCTCGACTATGCATGCAAATCTCCTCTATCCCTCCTGCTGAAATACCTATCACTAGCCTACGTCTTGCACGTCCCGTTTGCGCTTCCGGGAATATTCTCCCGCTGCCCGTCGCCAGTTCTTGCACTCGGGACAGCGCTTTCCACTATCACAAGCATAGGGAGCCAGCTTGTTACAACCCTTTTCCTTGCAAACTCTTCGACACCCATCATCCTCATCCCTAATCAACGGATTCTTGCAGCATTCTGCACAATACCTCCCATGACCTCCATACCCACCCCAAGGTGCAAATCGAGCACATCCCGGAATCGCACACTCACGATGGGCTCTCCTGTAAGAATCGCAGCCAGCACATCTAGAGTTGTTGGCCGGCGCGAGATAGTCGCAATTCCGACTTGCGCATTTGTGGCGATTTCCAAAGACTTTCTTCTTATCGGCTGTAAGTAGCTTGGTTGGCGGATTATGGCATCTCCTGCATTGGCAGTTACAGAGCAATAGACACTCGCACCGCTCCTTGGGGCAGATGCAAGATCTCGCCTCATCGCACCCGACACAGCGGCACTGGCAGGTGGGACTGTGATTTTGAACCAAGCAGGAGCATACCCAGGAGTTAGGGCCTCCGTTGGCATTGAGAATGCTTATGCTGGTCCCCTCGGGCAAGATGCTGAAATATATGTCAGTGGAAAGTACGCCAAAAAGGAGATGTCCAAAAGCTCACCTCTGAGCGCATGCCGTCTAAGCCTTTATGCGCTCATCACTCAAGCCCTGGGAGTCAACTGAGCGTTCACTCAACGCATGTGCGATGAGGTCGCTTCCTTGATACATGCTCGTCTTCATTGCTGATCTGTATGTCTCGACATTCCGAACATGCCGTGAGGCATGATCAGCGGCGGGGAGACTGTGATGTGTTAGTACAATCTTCACAATTCGTAAAGGTACATCTTACCTTTGTTCATGTCCCAGTGCCCAGACAAATGGTTGAAGCAGCGGGAGGTTCAGATTATGACTAGGAGCACGCTTCTGACCTTTCAGAGCCTTCTCCCACGCCACGACCACGGGATTTTGGGCATGGCTATTGTCCAGATGGAGGGCCGTAAGCACATCTGGCTCTGTCTCATGATCCCAGAACATGGATATACCGCTGTGCCCTTTTTCGCGGCACATTTGCATGAATCTTGCATACTCAGCTGTAGATCCCACCAGCCGATCGATGCTGGTAGTAACAACGAGCGTCTTGACGTTTTTCACCCAAACACCGTCAATCCTAGCGTGCTGAGGCAGGCGTTCGAGATGGCCCATGACTTCCCCGGATGAGTACCCGGCGAGTTCCAAACGCAAAACCTGGTTCGGGTCCGGGAACTGACATGCACCAAACATGGTGTTTAGAAAGCAGGACTGTCGAATGATTGAAGGATCAATGGTGTTTTGCTTGCCGGCTTGGAAGGTGGGACCTGTGCGGGTGATGAGGCACACACGCTGAATTCCGTGAGTCTCCACGAAATGACCCATCATTGCAGCAGCAGCATATATCTGTGTCGGGATTGCGTCTAGACGATCAACGGCGTCGTTGATCCTGGTCATTATCTTGTTCCGGCGTCCGTAGTATCCTCCATGCAAAGCTCTCTGACGTCCTGTGAAAGTCAGTGTGGGTCATACATGGCAAACTGTAGTCATTCCATCAAGTACTTACCGAGATCAAGCTGCTTCTTGATTAGAGGGATGAGGTCTCCTTCGACTATGTGCCAGTCCGTGATATTGCGACCTTCTTGAATAAGGCCCTGGGTGTACCTTGAATGAGATTAGCATCGTAGAATCATATGATGATGATTAGGTACTTACCAACATCCCCCGGTGCTCACAAAAAAGTCTCTGATTTCATCGACTTCGGCTGATCGACGAGTCATTCTGTCTGGGTTGACTGTGAGGAGCTGCATTGTCATATCGCGCATTCCACGGACCGTATTCCATAGTCGCCTGTCACGTAGCGGATGCTTGCTTGATGAGCAGAATTCGCAGCAAATCAAGACTTCGTCACCTTCCATGAGGTTCTCGCCTAGAATCAGCGAAGTCAAAAGAGTCGTCAACTGTCGTGGCATCGTATCCCGGGCTCTCTTCCCATCTTCGTTGCTTTGTCTTAACCATAACACCCAGCGTATAGATTTACGGCTCTTGACAAACAGGCTAGTGTCTTGGACCAATTCAAGTTTGATATCCGAGCATGTCCCGCGTAGAGCTGCGATAGCCTGTCGAAGATGTGGACTCAGGATTTTGTCCTTGAAACTCCGCTCCAGCATTCCATCGGCTCGATACCAAGTCGAACCTTCTTCCTTTGCGAAAGGCTCGGTCGTGATGATCGTCGTCGAGCTTTCGAGACTCAGAGTGCGAAGCAGGTGAGTCAGGGTATCTTCAATGCCGGCCTTTTTGGGCTTCCTGTCGAAATTGAGTAGTACCGGAAAGTGTTGTCCATATATGGGRGTCTCAATAATGTGCACTTGCGGCTTGCAATGGAGCATTCTGGGAGTCTCCATGAAAAGGGATGGTTGTCTCTGACACAAAGCTTCTCTTGCTCGATTTCCCGACAGACATACTAACACTCCCCAGCTGTTGTCAAAAGAGCGATCGATGGCGGAGATTCTGTACTCATCGTCAAGTGCTTTGAGTCCCTGAGGAGAGAGCATATTACATCTTTTGGTCCAGTATCCTTCCTTCTGTGCGTGCCAAATCGCTGTAAATGCTGCCGTGATCATGAGCTTCTCTTCCGGGTGGAATACTTTGGATAATACACGACTGTCGACGATAGTATGGGTATTCTCCCTCGCAATTCGTCCGATGAGGATCCCACTATCTCTCGGACTGAGTCCAATCGACATTCGTGAGAAGTGAGCAAGCAGCCTCAAGTGTTCATGCTGTCGTTGAACATCGTTGCCCTCATACCCGAGGACTCCCGTTCCATGTCCTCTTACTAGCTTCACCGTCTGTAGCCGTGAGGTTGAATCCGCGGGCTGGTCATTCGGCATGCWAAGTATGCGGGAACCACGAAACCGGTCGCAGCGGGTGCTTTGCCAGACGTCTTTGCCCATGCGAAGGAAGATGGCTGGCTCGTCGGTGTTGAGTGTGTAGCTGTGGATCATGTCCGAGTAAACACTCCTCTCCGGAATGTAGGACCATACTTGTTGCCATTTAGTAGAGGGAACYCCGATGRCAAGCTCTGTTCCTGGGATCCAATTGGGCTGTAATAGGATTGTGGAGCCGCCTTCTAGACAGCCTGCATGCTCGATCTCGGCTTGGTATTCTCCGATGAGCGTATTAATGATTTCAATGGTGGTTTGCATATTTGATGTTTGATACTGCCTCAAGAGCTCAGGGGAATGCCGGAAGACAGGTGAGTCTTGTATGAGATGTGATGATCTGAGTGATGAATGTGTAGGAAGTTGTTGTTGTTGTTGTTGTTGCTGTTGTTGTTGTTGCGGAGTAGACAGAGGCTGCAGAGAAGTGAGWGAAGGTGGACGCTGCAAAGAGGTGAGAGAAGATGGACGATTTGCGACACTGGCATGTGATTCCAAGCGGTGAATGCAAAGRTGATATCGCAGGTCGGCTTCAATGGTTGAAGTGAGCCTGGAAGTAAGTCCAATCGGTGAGAGTTTGGCAACGATCAAAAACCGCACATGTCGAGAAGATCCTGATGATGAGTGATCGAATGATGGTTGATATAGCCTTTCTGCACGGGTAAAGTGTATTCCAGTAGGCGTGGTTGAGTCAAGTGTCCGAGGAGATGTTGATGTTGATGTTGATATGGTAGAGAAGTATGTTGCCAAAGATATCTCACGGAAGTGGAATCGGCGACTTTTCAGCTGAGTATCAGATGAGTCCAGGGTGCTTGTGAAAGTGAAGCCGAATAGGGGTCCACAAGCAACATACCTACGGCGAATGCTCATAGCCAATATTGAAGCAGGAAGAACCAAGCTTGAGCCCTGCCAAATGTTCTCGAATGGCTCAGATCTGAACTCATGAGTATGAGACTGTATGGGCCATCCTCGCAGTGGCTACTACTGTCGTAAAGCTGTATGCTCTCGGTTCATGAACGCGTCCATGGATGAGGCTAAGAGAACCGTGCAGAACCGTATGCTCTCGGTTCATGGACGCGTCCACGAAAAAGGCTAAGAGACCCGTACAGAACCGTATGCTCTCGGTTCATGGACGCGTCCACGAAAAAGGCTAAGAGACCCGTACAGAACCGTATGCTCTCGGTTCATGGACGCGTCCATGAATAAGGCTAAGAGACCCGTACAGAACCGTATGCTCTCGGTTCATGGACGCGTCCATGAATAAGGCTAAGAGACCCGTGCAGAACCGTATGCTCTCGGTTCATGGACGCGTCCATGAAGCTGTATAACCTCGATTGGCAGAAACCTCGGCGAAGCTGTCAATTGGGGCGGTCTCTGCTAATTGGCGTAGGGTTCGGACTCCGAGGGCCTAGGCGTGGGTTTTCTTCGTTTCGGTACAGACCAGCTATTCATCAATGGGAAGTGTTGAGTAGCTCGAATGGGTCGATTAGTGTTCCATTCGACCTCCGGAGACCCTGTTTGGCAATAGATCCCCAGCAAATACGGCCGTGTTTACTGAGAACTCGATTCCAGGAACCGTCCACGAACGTCAGGATGTTGCAACCTTCGAAAGGACGTAGTGGGTTAGTACTCAATGACATGCTTTGCGACGGATGTCCCAAGATGAGGACCAGCTCCTAGCGCACTCCTGGAGACTTTCTTCCAAACTGAGCGCTGGCAATGTCAGGTCATTTCTTGATCTTCTGGACCACAATCTATCATCTCCTCGGCTGGTGGAGCAGGGCAGAAGCACTGAGGATCGCAGTATGCCAGGTGTTGTTTGTGATGACCTCGCTTATTTCCAGGAGAATGGCTTACTCGACTCCATGCACTGATTGCATTGGCCGAAGAGGTCAACATGTCTGCTGTCAATCCTCAATATGACGGATGGTGAGTGGTCTTGGTGARGATGACGCTGTCATTTCTCGTGGACATTCCTGTCGCCAGGCACAATCATTGTCTCCCAAGGTACTTACCTTTCCGGGGCAAGCAGGAGAGATTGYGGCGGCAGTTGTCCGACTTTGTGTAGCACTTGGTACAGATCCATTCACCCAGAACGATGATGAAGCATTCCACCCACCTTGACTGAACACCTTCCTGTCAACTTACTGCCAAGTCCCATCWTTCGACCGGAAGTGGATGAGATGGTGGTTGTTGAGGAAGTCTGCTCTTCCAACAGGCATTCATGGAAAGATGAATGCACAAGACATCCCCTGTGTCTTGATTTGAAGGCCTCCGAGCGGTGGGAGTTTCGGCTTCGCAAAGAAGAGTTGGAATCACTCTCGTAGGTACACCACTGCCAATGATCACGAAGTTTGTAGTAGACCATCTCCGCACTTTCCTAGTGTTGAATTGTCGGAGGTTCAAGACGCACTCGTCATCTCCACTTTGCGTCCGTGCTTTCAACCCTAACCCTAACTCTAAACTTTTGGACTTTCGCGCATTGCGGAGGCGATTGACATGTCCGTCCACCTTCCTTGCCATCCCTTCCCATGTTCGCCAGAAGCGCAACGTTGCCGGCGCGTGGCGGGGCGGAATACGTCTGCCTGGCCTGTCGACATCAGCGAATCCTCAACGCAAGGCAGAAATCCGCGCGACGATGGAACAGCCAGCACAAAGCAGCATCGACGGAAGCAGCATCCACAACCGAAATCGACGAAGACTTTCTCCTGCCTTTGAATGATTTATCCGAGGGATATGGCGATAAAAAGGAAGAGCCGGTCAAGAGCAAAGGCGAGAGGAAACACGAGCGTTCCATCCATGAACATCGACCCCAATTCTCTCTCATCCCCGGTAGAGCACAGCAGACACGCAAAGCACGGTTGGAGGAGAAGGAGAGGAGAGAGACATTGGCGGAATCTACATCATCGGAATGGAGGGGACCTAAGGATGTCCATGGCCTGTTGCAGATGCTGGACCAGGAAAACACGACCGACCCTCGCCCCACCCTTCCCACACATAATGCTCAAGCGATGACAACTTCGCCGAGTAAACATGATCGAAACGCGGCGGGCCTGCCACCAACAACATCTGCCACCCGCAATGCTGATCTCCAAGCCCTGTGGGATTCATTGGGACCGGGGATAAGAGCAGAAATCGACGACATGGCAGCCGAGCGTCATGGGGTGGATCAGGAAGCACAGTATGATGAGGACCATGAAGCACAGTATGATGAGGATCATGAAGCACAGTATGATGAGGATAATGAAGCACAGTATGATGAATATCTCGAAAAGTCGGCAGCTATACCYGTTCCCGAACCGGAGATCAAGTCCAAGGAACCTGTTCCCTTTCCGACCTTTTCCTCTCCAGAGCCTATCAAGACATCTACATCTACATCTGCATCTACATCTGCATCTGCACCTGCGCCCTCCAAAGGCTTCTTCTCCTCGACCATCAAATACTTCAAGGAAAGCTTTGGCATTTCGAAGCCGTCAGAGTCACAACCCGAGGAGACACAAACAATGAAGAACGCTGCGGACGTTCCCAAGCCCAAGGCGAGAAATAGCTCTACTGTGGAGAGTACATTTGCTTCCCTCAAATTGCCGAGCAATGTCTCCACACCGAAGAGTCCCGTGGAAAGATATGAAGAGTCTAGCAAACGCTCGCCTTGGGGTGACAATCCTTCAACATCTGCTCCTCCTGATGAGAGAGTTGCATCATTTGATGAAATGGCCTCTGCAGATCGCGTGTCGGTGAAGAGGCCCATCACCACGAGTTTCAGTGCGAGACCGTATGGGGGTCAAACTACACCCACGATTGCTGATCTGCGAGGAAAGTTGGCTCAAAATCTGTCCGAAAAGAATGAATCGTCATCCAGTGTGAAGACAGTCACTCCATCCAGTGCAGAGAAAGTCACTCCAGAGCAAGTCACTCCAGAGCAAGCCAAATCATCCCCACCAGAGGAAGCAACCCCAGCACACTCTCGTTTATCAGACTTGTATGCCACGAAAAATCACCCCGAAGACACCCACGATTTGGCATACTTGAGAAGGCAACATAGACAAGAGCAAATGCAAGAACGAGCGCAGCAGAATGTCAAAGAAACCTCCTCCGACATGGCACTTGCATCCTCGGATGTTGAGGGACGTCCGGTCAAGGCCAAGTCGCGACGCACACGGAATTCAAATCCGAATTCAAATGTCAGTATCAGGCCGTCGCGTCGGGATGTCGGATTGCGTGTACCCGTCGATGCCTCGATTAGTGAGATGGTTGGCATTTCACTGGGTGCTGCCATGCGTGGTGGAGACAAGAATAGACATGCTGCAGTTGATGGGAAGAGGAAAGTTGGCAGGCCTACCTCGCAATCCAAGTCGGATGTTGAGGCCACCTCACAATCCAAGTCGAATGTTGAGGCCAAGTCGAATGTTGAGGCCAAGTCGGATGTTGAGGCCACCTTTGTCGAAAGTAAAGAAGTCTCACCCTCAGTCGAGGAACCCTCATCCTCACCCAACGAGCGCTTTCAAACATCAACACCATCCCAGCTTCACATCACTCCTCTGGATATTCCTCAACCACCAGTTCCATACTTACAATACGGCCTGGATCGTGTTCTCTTCAACCCTGGTGTATATCAACTTCAAGACCAGACCTCCCGCGTCTACRACTTTGACCCATATCTGCAAAATATCATGCCGAATGTGGAATTCGACTTTGATTCATTAAAAGAGTACAAGACATCTTCCAAAGATGAGGCTTTGGCTGCGATTGCAAAGAAACACGGCAACAAGTATATTGGATCCACATCCAGTATGACCAGTGCGTTGGGTCATTTCCACTACCTTCTCTCCAATTGGCGTCCCCTCAACTTTGGCATGCTTTCGAATGACTTTGTGGGGAAGAGTTCGAAAGCTTTACCCGATCAGCTCACGCAGATTAATAGAGCTCCCACCGCAATCTTCCTTCGATGGAAGAATGGCACGTATGCGATTGATGCTGACAAGGAGCACGACAGTGCCAATGTCTTGATGTTATTGGGGAAATCCATGGAACTTCTCCTCACCCTCCCCAAATCCGACTTTGAGCGCTATCGCAAGAGTGATCCTCGAAAGGTTTCCGAAGAGCAACGCACCGCACCTGAAGCATATCAATACACGACCATGCGTGATTTCCTCATGCGATCGCAGCTCGATGCTTATGATCCCCGACTTCCAGGTAATGGCACCTTTGACCTCAAAACTCGTGCTGTTGTGTCCGTCCGAATGGCCGCCGACGATCATGAGTCCATGACGGGGTATGAGATTTATGCTCAGCAAGGAAAGTGGGGCAGCTATGAAAAGGAATACTTTGACATGATGCGCTCCACCATGTTGAAGTATATGCTTCAAGCACGGATGGGGAGAATGACGGGTATCTTTGTTGCATACCATAATGTGGAACGCATGTTTGGGTTTCAATACCTTCCCATTGCAGATATGGATCGCGCGTTGCATGGACAGACCGATCCTTGTTTGGGAGATCAAGAATTCCGGGCGAGTTTGGATATGATGAATGAGGTGTTGAATGCTGCTACCAAGAAGTTCCCAGAGCAGAGTTTGAGGATTCATTTCGAGACGCAAGAGGCGGAGAAGGGGAGGGGGGATGAGGGAATGCCGGTTGCTTTGCATGTATTTGCCGAGCCCATGACTGAGGAGGATTGTGATCGAATTCAGAATTCTCAAAAGGCAAAGATTGCCGAGTRGGAGAGGACGGTGATGGGGAAGGATGTTGCTGAGGATGGTGTCGAGGATGGTGTTGAGGATGGTGTTGAGGATGGGGCTGTTGTTGAAGAAGTGGTGGATGACGCACAAGATGAAGCAACCGCCCATTCCCCCGAGGAAGATGTTCCACCCACCGACAAGAGCACCTCCAACGCCGACCCGAAATTCCTGAACGCTTTGGAGACATCCGTGGGAGATTCTTCCGGAGGGCAACTCTCCCCTCTCTTCTACGCCACCATCATCGCTCAATCCTCTGTCAACGGTAACGTCGTCGACCGGCCCCAGAATCTTCAATCGAGAGATGAATGGACGATTGATTACATTTTGAAAGAATACGATGCGGGAAGGAAACAGTGGGCCATGTATGAGGATCTCAAGGCTAGGAGGAAGTTGGCATATGTGAGGGATGAGGAGGAAGAGGGCGTGGCCAAGGAGGGGAATGGGTATATCAAGTTCTTGAAGACTATGAGTGATAAGGGGAGGGCGTTGAGGAAGGCCAAGGATGATCGGGAGGAAGGGTTGCCGGTTTTGAGGGTCGAGGAGCTTGATGTTGAGAGGTTGGAGAAGGTGGAGAGTGTGGATGATTATATGCGCTTTTTGGAGAAGAGATGATGTGTTGATAGGGATAGGTGAGATTGGCGTTGAGGAAGTATGGATGATTGTGATATAGTGTAGGATAGACCTTGATCATGAACATGATCTTGTAGAATAGTGATTCTCTCCCTCTCTTTCTCTCTCTCATCTGCTGCGGACCATGACAAACCAAGAGGCCAAGGAAGGAAGAGGGAGTCATCGGGTGGAGTTGGAGTTGGAGTTGGAGTGGAGTGGAGCGGAGTGGAGTGGATTGGAAGGATCATGACACCACCACCACCAGGATAGATCGGATTGACGTGTTTGACGGCGTGGCATTGTGGAAGCATAGAGGGTTATTGCGATGTAGTGTAAGATAGACCGTGACCCTATAGAATAGTGATTCTCTCTCTCTCGCTTTCTCTCAGCTGCTGCGGACCATGACGGACCAAGAGGCCCTCTTCTCTCTCCCTCTTCTCAGCTGCCACTGCGAACCAAGAGGCGAAGGAAGGAAGGATCATCACACCACCACTAGAAGGACAGGGATATGCGGCAAACTAGTAGAAGCCAAGGAAATGTTGCTCTAGGATGTTTATCGTTGGCGCCGAGAACTTTTTGATGATGCTAGCTAGCTAGGTTGAACATGGTTAGATTTGGAGGGATTAGAGAGACGAGATGATCATGTTCGTCGATATGTAGTGAGCTGAATATCGATTGATGAGGATTAGCTACTAAATGGAAATGGCATTCATTCGTGATTTGGTGTTAGTGGCGAATGTCGATTCTATAAACGGATGCTGCTGCTATGCGCCATGCACTGCATACCTAGCCGGTATCCGATACGAGGCTTTCGGATTGGACTTGGCGGGGTTTGATTCGTTCGTTGGCCGTTCGCCGTTCACCGGTGGTTGTGCCGTTCGTCGGTGATTATGCCATTCGTCGGTTGTTGTGGCTGTGAAGATGTACTGTAGTATGACTAGTCTTTCCATAACAGACTATCGTATCCTGGCCATTTGCTCAAGTAGTTGCTTGTGAGTTTGACAGCTGAAAACAACCAAAAGTAAGGTAGCTCGAGAGACAATCACTAGTGGTACGTAGCCTCGAAACAAGACTTTGCCAAGTCCCGTCTCGCGGGCTGAAGTGCGGTGCGGGTGGGAACGAGGGAACAAAGGAGGATGCAAGTGCTGTCATCTTCATCTTCTTATTATACACTCTTTTGGTTCCGTCTTCTCTGCTACATTGACATGAAACGACGATAGCGAGTGCATCTTCCGCCCCGCTCTACATTCTTGCCCGCCATCCGGGGCATGTCACTTTCCCTTTCATGGCGGCCTTTAGCAGCGCGCGATCTCCGAGACTCGTCTTTTTGAGCGCCGGCGTGGCTTTTGCGCTGCTTGTGCTGGTGTACTATGTCACCTCCTCCGGCGTATGGCAGGCGACCACCACATCATATCGAGGATCCGTCGCGACGACAAGCTCCCTTCCTCTTTCCTCTCCGAACCCCTCTCTCCCACCCCCCGATCCCTCCGAAGGCGAGCGGATCCTCCTGGCCAAACAATACTTGAAGCATATTGCTCGCCCATCCATCCCCGTCGCTCAACCCCGAGTCACCCTCTTCGGCGCGCAAACATGGGAATTGCCTCCACTTTGGGAGCCGCAATGGAAGGCGGGACAACGAGATGGCTTGTGTATCATGGATTTGGACAATCGACTGTTCAATGAAAGTGGGCAGATTTGGGGCAAGAAACCCATGTCATGGGATCGGCCGGAGCAAGTGCATGGTTTGTCGTTGGGGATTTTGAATCACTGGTTGTATGCGAAGATTCATGGATACAAATACTACTACGTCGATATTGACGAGTTCACCGACCGACGGGCTTCTTGGAAGAAGCCGGTCATCATGCCGGAATTGCTCAAGCGGCATGAAACGTGCATCTTCATCGACTCGGACGCCGTCTTCACCCACCTCACAATCCCCTTTGAGTGGCTGATGAATTACTGGTCGATTGATCCTGAGAAGCATTCCCTCACTCTCGCTATCGATCCTGATCTTCCATGGAACAAGGACAAGTTTAATAAGACGTACGTCAATACTGGATTTATCGTCGCGCAAAACAATGAGCGAACGTTTGAAATCATGGACGAGTGGAGGGTTTGTCCGGATGACGGCGGCAGACATCCCAATTGCACGGACTTCAAGACTGCGGACCCGGGACATGTGACGGATCAGGGTGGGTTTGGGACGTATATCCGGTATGACTACAAGGAGAATGTCAAGGAATTGTCGTGTGATGATGCGAATGGGTTTCCAGAGAGTGAGACGGAATGTAAGGGGACCTTTCTTCGACATTTGTGGACGGGCAAGGATACGTGGATTAAGCGGACGGTGGGAGAGCAGATTCCGGGAGATTTGTTGCAAGCATTTCATGAATGGTTTTTGAGGGAGAGGGAGGAGTTTTGGATTACTGAGAAGGAGTTGATGGAGAGTGCGTGATACCTATTTATCAACGACTGGACATGTTACCATACAGTTGTTGAAATTGTGGAAATCATACCTTACTTGTCGACGTGACCATTCGGTCATGTGGAAAAATTTCGTGGGAAACGCGTGACATCACCGAGTTGATCATCACCAACCTGACGCGCTCTAAATTTATCCTTCCAACCTTGTTCCTCCAACACCACCACATCGGGAATTGCGACCATCATGCATTTGAACAATGTAGCGCAATGGGCGACGGTCATTTCTTCACTACTCCTCCGAGGATTGGCTTTTGTGTTTCTTCGCTGGGTAWGTGAGCAAGCAAGCAGTATCGATTATGCTTTCGTACTTATACTGACGATGATGATGTTCACAGATACCCGGGCATGTATGTGGGAATGTCGTCTACCGTGATGCAGATCACTGACATTGATGATCTCCCTCTAGCCATTTCCGCCGCTGATATATACCTTGTTTGCTACCTACATCCCGGCTTTCTGGTATACGGCAACACACACAAGTCCATTGAGCGTCGTCTCCGATAGGGTCGTTATCACGGAAAAGGAAAATGTTCCGGAAGATGTTGTCCATGTCGATGGCCGATACGTCGACGGCCCAGTGGCTGATCCCGGGAAGGAACTGGTCGTTGAAGAGGAAATCGAAGTGGAAGAGAAAGATGCTCAACGTCTCATGACTCTTTTGACGGGTTTGCCGAGTCCGACAAGTTTGATTTGGAGTGTTGTGACTTGTTTGATTAATTTGGTGCTGGTGGGAATGGTTGCTGATTTGGTCTGGCGAGCACATTACTTTTACCCAAGTCATGATCTGTCCATGGCGAGGGTGGGATATGTTTCGGATACGACGGCCAAGATTCTTGTACGAGAGCCGGATGTTGCACGTTTCCCGGTCTTTGCATCGTACCGTCTGGCGGATGGGGATGATGCAGAAGATGCATGGAAATCGGCGGGAAGCATTACCTGGATGGACAATCGTACTGATTTCACCGACACACTCACATTAACTGGACTGCAACCCGACAGTCGATATCAATACACCGCCAACAATCATACCGGCTTCTTCACCACCGCACCACCAATAGGCCGCATTTCCACCCGAGCTGACAAGGGAGATTCGTTCACCTTTGTCCACTCCTCCTGCATCAAACTCAACTTCCCTTACAATCCCCTCTCTCATCCTCTATCCGCCGCAGGATTGAAACATCTAACACAAGCAATCTCCGGACTGGGCGCACAATTCATGCTCTTCCTTGGCGACTTCATCTACATTGATGTTCCCCGCCGCAAAGGTGTCGATTTGGAGTCCTACCGAAGAGACTATCGTCAAGTCTATGCTTCTCCAGATTGGCCGCAAGCTACAGAAGATCTCCCATGGATCCACGTTTATGACGACCACGAAATCGCCAACGACTGGGACAAAAACACCACTGCTCCTTTCCTCTCCGCGAACGACCCGTACGAACACTACCACATCGCCGCCAATCCTCCAGCCGCAAGATCCGGAGAGACATACTTTACCTTTACTCAAGGCCCCACCACCTTCTTCATGCTGGATACCCGTCGTTACCGCGATCCCAACGATAACACCAACGGCTCCGATCCCATTACAGGAGAAGCTACAAAGACAATGCTGGGGAAACATCAACTGGCCGATCTTCTCGAATGGCTCCGTCGGGATGAGCCCGCAGGAGTGAAGTGGAAGATTGTCATCTCCAGCGTCCCCTTCACGAAGAACTGGCACGTCAACGCCCAGGATACTTGGCGGGGATATCTGGGAGAACGTCAAATCATTCTCGAAGCAATGTGGGATGTAGGAGGTGGTGTTGTCGTTCTTTCAGGCGATCGGCATGAATTCGCCGCTACTGCTTTCCCTCCACCTCCTCCACAGATACAAGAGGGAGGAGTGGAAGGGAAGAATTGGCCCTTAACCGCCACGGTACATGAATTCAGCGTCAGTCCGTTGAATATGTTCTACCTCCCTATCACGACTTATTGGGAGAGTTCGACGAGTCGGGTGTATACGAGTGATGTTTGCTTGAAGTATGTGCGGAATGGGAATAGTAAGGTCGGRGCGGTGAGTATTTCTGAGATGGGGGAGGGGGAGGGGAGCAGGTTGATGTATCGATTGTTTGTTGATGGGAAGGAGGAGTGGAGGTATGCTGTTACTGCTACGCCGCCCGATGGTTGAGGGAGAGGGAGTGGGGAATGAAGGGATTTTTGAAATTTTGGGCAGTCAACTTTTGTTCACTTTGAGTATCGTGAGCCAGCCATTTTATAGAGGTGAGAAGGGCCGAAGCATATGACAGAATAGCCCTTGGAATCTACATCTACTCTTTCTAGAAGGTGAACAGGCTTTTCCTTTTTATGTCAATTCGACAATGCTGTCATAAGGTAGTCCTCTTACTAAGAGGGCCTATAGAGACCAGCTAGCTATTATGAAACTATAAAACGAGGCAGAGCTGTCGATATGAGAAATCGTCAGAAAGAGCAGCGCCCTGAACTGCTCTCTTGGTCGATTAACGGGCTATTCTGCTAGTAGGAAGGATTGTAGCAGGTCTGGATTCGTCCAGTCTGCAGAGAGAGAGAGGCCTTTTGAGATTGTGAGGATGACTGAGGATCAGAGCTGTCGATATGAGAGAATTATTAGAAAACCCGCGCCCTTTACTGCCCTCTCCATTAAATAACAAGGCACTCTGCTAGTAATAAAGGTTCTAGCAGCTCTAGAATCGTTACTCCTGCGGAGAGTAAGGCCTAAAGACGTTATAAAGACGACTAGAAGTGTCGTGTCTCGATAAAAAAATCCTTATATCGACAGCTCTGCTGAGGATGTCTTGTTCCAACGAACAATCCTCATGTCGACAGCTCCGGAACAACGACTTTGTGGTCTGCCGCAATTGCTTCAACTCGCAAGAGGCATGCATTCGATATGCTGGGCGAGGAAAGAGCACGGGCGGACTCCTGCCGATTCACCAGCTCGTACTTACAACGACGCATGTCCTCCCACATGGTCGACGCTTCAATCCTCCATCCGACATTTCCCACAGTACTTCGCCTTCTCCAGGGCTCGGCGCAGTTAACGACCCAACCGACACTGTCGCCATTCACACTCCTTTCGACATCCCTAGGCAGAAATGCCACCCAGAACCGAGACTGCCTTCACTCGCGACTTCGCCCCAGAACTCCAGTATTAAGCGATCATGACAGACTTCGCTCAAGGCTCCTGTATGTCCAAGACGCGGCATTCCCTCAGACGACGCGGCGATGTCGACATTCCTTCCGACATTGACGAGTAGTTGAACAACGAAAAGACCAAAGTCAACAAGCGAGCCGACAAGGGTGATCTTAATGGTGTGACAAGATCTCATGGTAAGTTGTACCATAATGCTGTTGCTCTAGCCTCTTACTAACAAGGACCAACAGACCGGGTCTTGCACTACGTTCGCACATTCTTTAGAGACGATGATGGGTTTAATAACGCTCTTTGCGATGTACAACAAAAGTAGATTCAGCAACTGGATGTAGCAATGAACGAGGCCGAGGCCACTTACACGGCAAATCTTGCTGCTCAGACGAAGGGGCATGAAGCAGCCAAGCAGAAGGTGGTGGATAAGTACGACGGCCAGGTGAGGTTGGCCAGGGAGAACTGCGAGGAACTTACCAAGCAGCTCGAGGCGTTAAGCGCCAAGATTGAACGCCAGCAGGCCGCAATCGAAGAACAGCCCAAGCGAGAGCAGCGATCAAAAACCGACGAGAAAGCACGGCAGAAGGAACTCAGCGACGTCCGGGCCGAGGTCAACAAGATAGGACAGGACCTCGCGGATGCAAAGCTTGCGCATGCAAAGGAGCTCGATTCCGCCGCGAAGAAACACGCCGCCGATTTGAAGAAGCTGGAGACAGCTCAGAAAGTTGCTTCGGAGACGGAAAGTGCTCGGCTTGAGCAGGTGAGAAAGGAGCTCAGTGACGCGAGAGAGCTAGCAGACAGGTACAGAAAGAAGCGCAGTGACGCGAGAGAGCTAGCAGACAGGTACAAAGATGATGTGTACTTGCAGAGTGAAGGGAATGTCAAGATCAAGAAGGAGCTCCAAGAAAAGGATCGGACTGCGCAGAGAAACACCAAAAAGCTCAATGTCATGAGTGGCAAGAACTTGAAACTGGCCATGGAACAGACTACACTTCAAGGAGATAGGGCTGCTGTGGAGGAGAGCTACATGGAACTCCAAGATCAATGCGACGCGGCAACTACCAACGCAGAAAGGCTCAAGAATGCCAACCACCTTCTTCGCGATCGGGAGGAGACTAAAAACCGAATTGCAAATCGTCTGCGGATTGAAAATGCTGACCTGCTCATCGATTTATATCGCATTGGCAGAAAGATGCTCTCCGTCCCGCAGAACAACCACGCTCGATTGGACCGACAAGTGGAGGGAAGCAAGACAGTACAGGAAGAGTTGCAAGACGATCTTCAAGCCATTCTCCTAGATCTGATTCAGGCTCGGGAAGAGAAAGTTGCTGCGGAGGAGTTGGCAAAGCGATATCAATCAGAAAACGACGAGACTGAAGCTCGACTGGCAATTCGAGATTACGAGCTCGCTCATGAGCGAAAGTCGCACAGGACCAGTATGGCCAGCCTTCATACCATGAACAATCACTTCGTGACTGAAATGAACTCCCATCGAGTGGAGATCAACGCTCACGGCAAGACGAAGAACCGCCTTCAGAGCATGAACAAAGACCTCGTGACTGAAATCAACTCTCATCGAGTGGAGATCAACGCTCACGGCAAGACGAAGAACCGCCTTCAGAGCATGAACAAAGACCTCGTGATTGTATTCAATTCTCATCGAGTGGAGATCAACGCTCACGGCAAGACGAAGAACCGCCTTCAGACCATGAACAATGACCTCGTGACTGAAATGAACTCCCACCGAGTGGAGATCAACGCTCACGGCAATACGAAGAACCGCCTTCAGASCATGAACAACGACCTCGTGACTGAAATCAACTCCCACCGAGTGGAGATCAACGCTCACGGCAATACGAAGAACCGTCTTCAGAGCATGAACAATGACCTCGTTGCAGAGATCAACGGTCATTCATCCACCAAGAACAGCCTTCAGACCACGAACAATCACCTCGTTGCCGAGATCAACGGTCACAGACACACTGCGAGAAGCCTCCATGATGAACTACACTCTCACATCATCACCAAGAAGAGCCTCGAGGACTAAAAGTTGCTACACGGCAACACCAAGGGCAGCCTTGCTGGTGAAAAGAACAGCCACAATCGGATCAGCGAGGACTTTGCCGATGAAAAGAGCACGCACAATCAGACGAAGAAGAGCCTCTTTGATGAACAGAGCACGCACAATCAGACGAAGARGAGCCTCTCGGATGAAAMGAGCATGCACAATCAGACGAAGAAGAGCCTCTTTGATGAAACGAGCATTCACAATCAGACGAAGAAAAGCCTCTTTGATGAACAGAGCACGCACAATCAGACGAAGAAAAGCCTCTCGGATGAAACAAGTATGCACGTTTCCACCAAGCAGAAACTTCAGACTTCCAACGACACTTTGACCACTGAGATGTCCAACCACTGTACCACCCGCTCACAACTCAAGGTTCGCACCGATGAGCTTCAGACCACGCGTTCTGATCATGTTGTCTCGTTGGGTAGGCATGTCCTCACGCGCAGAACCCTCCACGCTTGTGACCGCGAGCTTTGCCAATCAAAGCTTGGGCACACGACGACCGAGATAAAGCTGCAAGACGTGCAAGCGCAGTTGAGCAGCATCTGGTGGATGGGGGACAAGTGGCAGAGGCCGCTCTCCATRAGACCCGTGGAAACCTCGACGATGTCCGAGATCGCTTAGCAACAGCCACAAGCCAGGTCTCAGGCTACAGGAATGCGATCTCTGTGCAGACGAACCGGATCGTTGCGACCAATCACCGACTGGATGCCGTTCGACTGGCGCGCGACAACGCCCAGGATGAATCCTCTAGCATGAGCGCCAACTTCATCGCCCCTCGCTCCGAGAATGAAGATCATTCACGACGGATCTCCAAGCTGGTTAAAGACATAAAGACCCAGAAGAAAGTAGTGCAAGATTGCGAGCAAAAGCTACACAAAGCCCAAGAGCGCAACGCTACCGGTGATGAATATCGTAAGCGACTTGAGACGGACCTTGTCACTAGTCAGAGATGGCTGACACTGACGAGCAAGGAACTGAATAGGGCGCAATCTCAGATCAATAGAGCTGTGCAAAAGAAGCGTAAGAGCGCAAGTTTGCAAGGACAGGATCGTGTGACCAAGCGTCGTCGTTGAAAGGTGTGGTCATGACTGCATCCAACGGGATTGATGGAATGGAATCAAAGGAATTGATGATGTACGACTAGTGCTATTCATAGGCCACTGCGGTGATGGACGTGATAAGGGAGGTATCATCATGATGCCAAGGCAAAGAGTAAATCATCAGAGGTTGCATGAATTCCATATCTCATGGATCATTCCTCATATCGACGACTCTGCTCGTCTGCAGTGACCAAACCGACCGGTGCCATAGCCTCATTGGCATTGCTGTCCGCACCCAGCACTACCGTATACCTACACCCAAGGCTCCTCAAAATTGGAGGCTGCCACCCTACCTACAACACTGAAACATCTCGGGATCTCTGCAAGGCCGGCGCAACATAGGTTCCATCTCACCGGCCCTTTCTCCCTCCGCCGATCTTGACCCTGTCTCCCTATGTCGATCTTGACCGCATTAGCGCGAACCTTAACTCAGCCCGACTTGACAACATCTCAACGTCGGAGCGGACCCTATCTACATCGTTCACACCATCCTACCACCCTGAGACGCCTTACAGCCAGCCAGTATCATTCCATCCGGCGCCGTCGACCACACAACTCCGCTGCGCTCTGTATGGTCCAGGTGGGCAGCTATCGAAACCCCTACACACTCTACACAAAACCCTTCATCTCAACATGCCGAAATTCAACCACATCAAACGACGCAAGGAATACGAAGCTTTCGCAAGAATGGACGATGGAACACCGCCGCGAACTCCACAGCCTCTTCCGAAGCGCAATCGCACAGGCCCACGCGCGACGTCTACAGACATCTACAGCATAATCGCAGCGCGGAGAGCGGCCGGCCGACCGACGCCAGAGATTCCTGGGTTGGCTGAGATGGGACGAGATCCGTCGTCCGAGGTCAAACCACGAAAAAAGATTCGATTCGAGGGACTTGATCAGCTGAGTTCTGATGATGACCGGCCCTCCGGCACAGAATCACAATTCATTGATCCCGATTCATCCGTTGTGAATCCTTCATCTGAATTCTCTCAGGCTACATCAACTCCATGGTATGACGACTCTATCGAAGAAGACATGTTAGATCTGGGAGACGAGTCAGAGATCACCCTCCCTGCGAGTGACGAGCCAGAACTCGCCCGCCTTCGCTCTCCTAAACTCATGGTTCATGGCTAAATTGATCCACTCGATTCTGATTTGAACGACGTGTTCGGAACGGGCGAAGTATCGATACCAGAAAGATCGATGAGGATACTAGAAGATGGCAGAAGAACCGTCTCCGCGAGGGCCATCCTATACCACACAACCGAAGCGCAGGTCAGACAGTGGGACCAAGAAGAGGAAGACGAGAGCAATTCAAGCGACGGTGACGACGGCGAAGGAAATGCTGGGCCCACTCCAGAACCCCAACATATTTTACCTAAGCATCAAGGCTCACCCCTGAGCACTCCTGCACCTGAGAATGAGGAAAACGACGCCAATCTACGAGACGAAGACGCACGTCAACTTGCTGCTGCACTTCAACATGGCTGGCACGACGTTATTGAGCTCGTGGTGGGGAGTCAAATACGCAGATGCGCCTACCGCTGGATCAACACCCTCAAATCATGCAACATGTCTACGTCGTACTCACCTGCTCTGGAAGCTGATACACGGTGCCTCAATCCGAGTTGCAGAAAGTATAGGGATGATTCCATTGGGCTGGTTAAAGGCAAGCAGAGAGACGGGCTATTGGAGTACAGACCAGAGCGCGAGATATGGTTACACTCTGTCCGATCGCAGATGACTTCACAAATTGCCAAATCTAAACTGTACTCATTACATTCGGGGAAGTGAAATCTCAACCAAAGTTCCTTTCGCAACACATTTAGAAGCATCATATTCGATGGGCTCAAATCGTCCGGGCTACTAGGTGATATAGAGCTGTCGCCATTCCAAAGATATATAGCCATCTTTCGAATTATGGTCCGGTCTGGCAGTGCCAATCAGGGTAAATCCCAGCGATTGAAACATGCTCCATCTTCTCAGGACCAAAATCTAATCGACCCTTTTTAACGTGGAATGTTTGGCATCGCTGGGATCATCTCATCCCGGCGGAGTGTAAATCCAAGTCGTTCAATGGATAGGCAAATAAGTCGACAAGGTGATCGCACTCGTGTAGCATTGCCAAGGCGGACGTCGCTCTGCGCTTGAAGTGAAGGACAGTAGCGTAGCTACTGCTTACGAATTGTCAATTTCTTGTTCTTGGGTCCCAGGTAGACGTCTCAATTTACTACTTCTAGTGAGAGAGAGATGGTTATGATTGTTAGATTTCTCCTGATTGTGAACAGGTCGAACCTGTCTATGAGGTGTGTTCATTTCCCTATGTTCATGCACAACCAATTCCCTGCATTTACGCAAGACCATTCATATCCACGACAAAGGACCGCACGGCAATTCGGGTGGAGGGCAGCTGCTGCAATTCTGATTGAATTTAAGGTTTGATATTCTCCGCAACAGCATGACCATTCTATGTGTATAGCGAGTAGCTATCTAGTTGGGCGATCGCTCAATAAACTTGTCGATGTCTGCAATACATGTCGACTCAATGAGTTAAAGACATTACCATTTTGTTGTTGTGGATTGAAGCTGAATGAAGGATGCTTGGCTTGATTCTCGATGCAGAGAGAAACTCAGATGGAGTTTCTTAAGGTGTGGCTATTCCWTTCTCCGCTCGGCACTGTGTGATAACGTAACAGAACAAATGATATCATAGCGCATCTCACGATGGGCTAGATATCATAATGTCATTACTCAATTGAGTCCGTCGAATGTGTATCTGCACCATTCGTACCCGCACCGATGATTTACTCGTTGCTAGTATCTGCGTTACCAGCAAGTTCCTCCAGAGCATCTGCCTCAGCCTTCTCGTCTCGCGCCTTCTCATCCATTCGACGCTCCCCAATCTGGCGCTTGATGATTGATATGCGCTTTTCCAACGGTTCTCCACCAATCGCCAACCAAGAACCCACCAGTGTGTTGGCCTGGGTCTCAAATTCGGCAGTCGGTTGTATCCAGGTCCAGTTTCTACTCGGAAATCGATTTTCCGCATGACGGAAGAAGTCGAAGGCATATCCAGTTGGCCATTCAGGCTCCTCAGTCCGAAACTCGTCCCGCAGCTGCTGTGTGAACCGTCCGACGAAATTCTTTCCCCACTCAGCCTTGTTTCGCTGTGCATAGTATGCAGGGTATCCGATGCCGCCATATTCGGTCGTTGCCTCGTAGAGCTCAAAGTTACCGGTCATCATCAGCCGTATCTTACTATCCAGATCTTGCTCGTACATGGCCCGGAGTGCAGTAGGCAGAAATTTCTCCATGGCGTACTGCCAGGTTGCCATCAATTCCCACCACCAATCGGGATCTGTTTCTCCGAGGTCATCGAATGAGCTTCCAAGCTCGATCAGTGTCTTGGCGGGAGCATCGCTGCAATGGATTACACAAGCCAGGTCGTCGGATGAGAGAGCTGGTGTCACGACAGTACTCCGGCGACTTTCCATACCGGACATGCCTATGATGAWGGTTAGTATGGTTTCAATGCTAGCGAGAGAGTTTTCAGGGCTTACATCTTGCTTTCAAAAATTGTCTGACTTGCTCGATACAGGTAAACTTGGTCGTTCCCTGCCATTCAGGAACGGTGAAGCTGAACGGTCTGCCACAACTGAGAAAGGCATGTGGACCACCTCGGGTGTCCTCATGAGGTGCAGCGAAGAAGATTTGCCCGGAGTTCGCTTCTGGGAAGTATCTGACGTCCCAGCAGATGGGTCGGGCTCCCCGTTCGCGATGATATTCGATTTCTCCTTTGGGAAAGCCTTGATGTTCTGCATTGAATTTCTCTCTTCCAACCGGAGCACGCTTCCCGATACTGGCTAGCTGCACATCGGTATGCTTGAGCTTCTTGGAGCCGGAAAGCTCGGCGGCCGCGCGGCGAATGTATCGCCATGCGTTGGTGATCGCCACCAGGCGCGCATACAAACATTGTTCGACGGTGTGTTGCGGCTTCGCTACATCCTTCCAGAGCTTTCCCAGTCGCTCGATGATCTGATTGGCGTAGTCTCCCAACCACGCCGCAGGTGCAGTTGCTGTCAAAAGAAGGTCAGCATGTATCCGAGACTCCAAACAAAGTGCTGAATCCGACATACACATTGTAAGCCGTTGACGAGAAAATTCCGCCATGACGGCCAGCTCGTATGAGATCATAACCACTTGCGAGCGGAGCTCGAATGACATGATAGTCGCGTCTGAGATGGCCCGTACGACATCTAGCATGCTGTCGAGAAGCTGCACGAGGGCGGGGATCCGCGCGCCCCAAATTCTTCATCTGTACATGAATATCCTTTCTCTCGCATGGCAACTGCTTGTTTTAACAAACGAGAGACTTTTCCCTGTAATAGGCAAAAAGATGGGCAAGTGCAGGTGAGGAAAGTGCCTGCTTTGAGGCCGGATCGGTCCAGAGTGGAGTAGGACGATAGCTGTCGGTGGTATGTATCGATTTGGTTGTACGCGACGGTGGGGTCACCGTACATCGGCCCGAAAACGTGTGTGAGATCCAGGTCATGTGGAGCGGCTGTTTGTTGAGCATCTACTTCCTTTGCCAATTCGATGCGACGCTGGACAAAGAACAGATGTAAAGGATCGCATGGTGACATTGGAGGAAACTCGGTGGTGTTGTCGTCCATGGCATAATATCCCATGAAGGGATCTCGCTTCATTGTGGCAGGGAAAAGGAAATGGAGATGCGACGGCTCAGCATCTTCTCCATTGATCCAGTCCCAGAGTTGATACACCTGGATGATGAAGTCCGTTATGATCTTTTCCGCCGATCGTCGCCGACCTACATGCTGCAATCGAAGGTCGGTGCTCGTGTCGAAGAAAGCTGTATCAAGTCAGCAGGGCGGGCATGCTAATACCATGGGCTATTCTTACGGTGTCTCTCGCTCATCATCTCCAACGTGACTAGCAAGGCGGAACTCAGGTATGAGATGATGATTGAGTCATCGGCGCATCTGCAGACAAACTTGAGCTTCTCCTTCGCGATACGTATCTTTTTCTTTGGAGAGTGACTAGCGGTCCTCAAAGTGGCGGAGATTTCGAGCAGGAGTCCCTCACACCGCTCAATCTCGTCCACGCCAAAGTCTGCTGGGTCCTTGTCATCACGATTCATGTCCTTTGCCGAAATGTCAGTATGATGATGGAGTGGATGGATGTCGATAGTCCTGGCTTACTCTCGGCCCATCTCCTTGATATTCGCCACTGCCCTCATCCCCAGCGCCATCTAGCTGGGAGATCACACTGGCTGACGCTGCATTTGGTGACATCTCGGTGCGATCTCGCGTGTCTGACGTCATCATGCTGAGCCGAGCTGTTGAAGTTGTTGTCTTGTCGAAGGTGTCGCGGACGGCAGAGACGCCCGAGACGCCAGGAATGGAAACGAGAGCGCGCGACTGCGAGATGTCTCGAGCAAGCTGCGCATTACGCCGAAGTTGCTCGACAACGTCGTGAGGCTCCTCCATGATCGACGTCTTTGAGGTAATGAGGAAATGCCGATGTTGTTGTGAAGAACTTTGTGGAACAAGTTTGGAAGAGCTAAAGTTTGGGATCTCCGCGCTAGCTGGGAAGATTTCCCCACGCTTCGCCTTGCCTCTGGAACTTGACGTCAGTCGATGAGAAGTGATGTTCAACAATCAGGTGGAATGACGCTACGCGGTCTGTAGTTCTTGTTTTTGCGCCTCTTTGTATGGCGCATATTCAGTGACATTGACTACTGTCATTTCCGTAAGTAGTCGTGTTCTCCCCCCTTCCCCCCTAGAAATGGCTGCTGCTGCCACGATCATTTTCGTCTATATGGCCCTCTGACATCAGTCGGCGCTACGAGGATATACCGTCTAAGTGGCCAAGCTCATAGCCCCCCTCTGGCGTCGGCCGACGCCTATATAAAGGGGTATAGCCCCCCCCTCTGGCGTCGGCCAACACCAGAACGGGCCTATACCCCTTTATATAGGTTACTAGTGGCGTTGGCCAACGCTAGAGGGGGGCTACACCCCTTCATATAGGCCACCAGTGGCGTTGGGCAACGCCAGAGAGGGGCTATACCCCTTCATATAGGCCACCAGTGGCGTCGGCCAACGCCAGAGGGGGGCTATCCACTCTCACAGGCCACGACTGGCGTCGACCAACGCCAGCGGGGGGCTATCCACTCTCACAGGCCACAACTGGCGTCGGCCAATGCCAGGCACAGAGCTCGTGGCGGAAGCTACCACCACGGGGTTCTATAGAGCACCACAGCACCAACATTGCATTCCAGATTGGGGGACTATGTGCATCTTTCATGTGATACAGTGTCTGTGCGTCGTGACTAATCAGTTGTCAACATTTCTTCCAGCGGCCTCTTTTGTTTTCTTTGATTTCTCATCCCATTCTAAGCCGACTTGAATGCCCTCGATATCTTCTGCACCGTCGCCTTCAATCGAGCCTCTGTTTACTCGCGAGACTCAGCAAACATTCAACCCCGTTGCGATAAAGTTTCGGCTGATCCCGTTATTCAACAATCAACAACAACGTCACAGCACTTCGCACTTCTTGCTGCCGTCACATACTTCCCTTACACTACCTCCCGTGCGCATCCACCGAAGTGCCTTCACACTCGTGCATCATCCGCCGCGCCTTAACACTTGTCCATTATCCGACGTGCCGTCATTTGAAACTCCGCATTTTCCGATACGCCATTTCCCGACACGCCGTCAGTTGAAACGGTGCATTCTCCGATACGCCGTCACAATTGTGCATCGTCACTCGACGCGCCACCACAATTGCGTACTCTTCCACGCCATCCTTTCAGCAACCACAAACTCACTCAATCGACCGGCTAGATCATCAACATATCGACAACAATGGCCGAATATACATTGAAGAACCACTCTGATGCGCCGCAGCAGCCAATCTCCAGCGATGGTGGCGAGATTACCGCATGTGGCCCAAAATCGAGAACAGCTGAGATTATTGGATACCTCGGTTTCAACTTTGAGGGTATCGCGTGTACCAAGAAAGACGTCTTTTCCGTGGCGATTCATCCAGTCATGCTACGCGCATACCTCGTCATGTCTCGAGCCTACGACAGGTTGACTACCGAAAAGGGAGCTGCCGAGATCTCAAGCTCCGAAATCACTGCCTTGATGCCCCGTTTGGATGAAGCTCTTCAACTCAAGAATCTGATCGCACAGAAAGTCGACGCTCTACCTGCCGATACCGACTCGCAGGAGTTGGTACAGTTGAAGAAGCAGCTTCAGGAAATCGTCGGCCTCGATTTCAATGACGCTTTCGAGGAGTTCAACGCCAAGAATCATCTCCTCTGCGCCTTGTTGTTCCATTGGGCGGAGTCGCTCACACAGCTGCCAGAATACAACAACGCGGATCCCGTGCTGGAAAAGGAGATCGAAAAACTGTTCGAGGACTTTGCGGCGTACAGAAAGATGAAGAAGGTCAAGGAGGTTACAATCCCGATCATCGTTCGGGACTACAAGGAGCGCCAAAGCTGGCCTACTGGCTTCAATGTCGACTTCCTCTCCGCGCGAGGTGAAACGGGTCTGGAAATCTACAACAGACTGTGGCAGTTCTTCTGGTACATGAGGTCCAAGTGTCTGAATGCTAAAATGGACGATTTCATGACATCCAACCAGCGGCAGGCGAAGAATTACCCACTCGATAACAATTTGGACTCCCATTCTCCGCTGTGGTGGGACGGAAAGGGCGACGATGAAGCGCGAGATGAGCTAGAAAAACAAGAGCTTGCGGCACTTCTTGCCACCACCCACGACAAGAGAAGCGACGAAGCCGATGGCATTCAGTTTGCTGACCTACCATGCGTCCTCAAACTTGCAAATACTGGCAGGAGCGAGCGGGCTGCTTGGAAAGAATTTTTGGAGGGACTGGAAGAAGACGGTCTCACCAATCCTCTACAGAACATGGTGCTTATCCCCAATCCATGCGCGTATCCGAGCCCACCGGCGTGGCGTAATGCTTTGCGAGAGGATTGGAAACTCAAAGATCTTGCACTCGGCATCCGGACCATTTCCATTTCAATGATGTCGGCAGATAACAAGAAGCCGATCGACGAGAAGCTTGTCTACGACGACAGTGCCAAACGATACATGACACGAGAAGAGATCATCGACATGTTCAACCTCGAAAATGCAGTCCGAGCAGAAGTCTCAATACTGTTTCTGCTTGACTTCACCCAGGCCAAGTTGGAGGCGCTACCTTGGAGCGACCCCCTCATCACCATCAAACACGGCCAAGTGGTTTCGAAGCGTTCTGTCGCCGTCGCCGCCGCAAAGGTAGACAGTGATGAATCTGATTCTGGGGATGAACGCCTCCAAGGTGCCGCATCAGCGCCAGACAGCACCACGCGAGCTCAGGGCGACGGGGTCATTCCTACAGTACCTCCCTCAGTGGCCGCGAGCGAAGCACACCCATCGCCGAACATGCCTGAAGATCAGTCTGGTGAGGCTCCTGAAGGTTATTCGCGCGGCATTGGCCTTCCTGCAGTGGGAAGCCTACCCCCCGACATCTTGGCGGTGTTCGATTCCATGCAAACCAATCAATCCACTCAGATCCCAGYAGATATTGACGAAGCACTGCGCGGTCTCTTGCCTTTCGCTCCCAATTTGACCATGACCTCCCAATACCTGGTTGATCAGGTAGGAGACGAGAAATTCAACTTCATCAAGTCCAAGGAGCCCAAGCATGTCAAGCAGAGTCAACCCCTTCCTGATGAGGATCAGATTTGACCTTCTTGGGCAAGTACAAGGACGCTTTCGATCAAAATCTCATCTACACGCTCTACATCTGCACCCGTCTGAGACACGCAAGACGGACTAGACCGGACGCCACAAGATCTCGAACAAGATTCGTCGGCTCTGGAACGTGCATTACGCATGTTGAACCGTCGACGGTGTGGTGTCAAAGACCCTTCCCTGTGTATCACGCCTTAGAGCAACTAATCGGAGCTGATTGGAAAGCACCTCGACAAGGAGAGATCGGAGGGGGAAATTGGCGATCTCAACCTTGCCTTTGGATGGGACTTTGCCAACGTCGAGCTTTCAAAGGAGCCCACAAACAGGCTCGGCTAGAAACCTGTTGGAACTATCGGCAAAGAGATTCGATGGCCTTCCGCAAAGCAATCCGTCCATTTGATTCTCGGATAGCATAGTTCCTATAGAGTGTGGCGAGGTAGTTAGTTTAAATAAAAAAGTCCCTGATCTTAAGGTGACATGATTTCTTAAACGAACTATTCTCGCAACCGTAACGCTAGCTTTAGCAATTATAAGCAGAGCTAATAATATAACAAAATCATTAATAGAACAGCGTCCCTAACCGCTCTCTCCATTGCATAACGGACCACTCTGCTAGTGGTAACGGATCTAGTAGCTCCAGCTTTGTCTATACTGCAGAGAGCAAGCCCTTAAGGATAAACTCCCATCTAGCCACCAAACGGCACAGCAACAAGTTTCCTCCAACCGCTATCATAATCAAGTGTCATTCCTCATTTCAAGAGCCACCACGCGAGCGTTGACATACATCGCTCGCATTGGAAGGCATTTCTTCTCCGTGACCTCATCTGGGTCACGAACCGGCTACTCCTCCGCTACTCCCACTATCTCTGCCTCTCCGCCTGTCTCCGCGCCGCCTTCTGCGCCGCCTTCCGCATCGCCTTCTGCGCCGCCTGCTCCGCCGCCTGCTGCTCCTGCTCCGCCGCCTGCTGCACCGCCTGCTGCTCCTGCTCCGCCGCCTGCTGCACCGCCTGCTGCTCCTGCTCCGCCGCTTGCTCCGCCTTCTGCTCCTCCTCATAGACCCAGCCGGAGATGATGCGCGCATCGATCCTGTTCAGCTCACCCTTGATGTACGCGAGGGAGCCGAGTGCGACTACCACAAGGAAGAGAACCCCCAACAAAGCCACAGGGAGGGGCAGGACGAGGAAGACGTCAGGTACTTGAGGTGGTGCGGTTGTGTTGCCGGTGGAGATGTTTGGTGAACCTCCCACATCTGGAACCGCGATTGCCGACTGGTTTCCCGAACTCCACAGCCCAGTCGATGAACGCAACTCGTAGCCAAATATTCAGCCCAGTCCACGCAACAGTGGGTGCAGGCCAGACGACGAGCGTCGCGGCGTGGACCGGGCACTTAGCGAAGATGTTTCCGTTTCCAAAGAGCAGGACCCTCCGCTGCTCTCTCCGTTAGATGAAGGGCCACTCTGCTAGTAGTAAAGGTTCTAGCAGCTCTAGAACCGTCGATTCTGTAAAGAGCACGGCCGGCATCGAGACTATACAAAGATGACTGAGGGTGTCCGTTCGGGCAGTGGCAAGAGCTTTTGCCAGGCTCTGATCATCGCCAACATCGTCTTCCTTGGCGGCCGGGTTCTTGTCAGCAGTCAATCCAACTCAGGTGTAGATGCTCTGTTCAACAAGACTGTCGATGTGTTTTGCCGCTTGCCAGAGGCACAAGAGCTCCGCAAATATTGCGTCCGTGTTCGCAGCACCCGCATCACCATTCGTGGTCTGACAGACCTGGCATTTCACACCACGACACACGAGAAGCTCGGCCACTGCAGCATGGCGGCCCACATCCATCGGTACGTTCGCGACAACCCCAACGCGATGTACGTTCGCGACTATCAAGAGCATGTTGATTCCTGGACCACGCCTGTCCGAATGCAATCTTCCCTGAGCTTCCATCAAGTCGTGACTGGGCTACAAGGAGCAGTCATGCGTTCAATGCTTGTAGTCGGCGGAACGAGCGCAATGGGCATGAAAATCGCCGCGCTTGGGTTTGAGGCGGACGTGGCGATCTTCGACGAGGCCTCTCGATCTTCCGAGCCAGACCTACTCGTCCTCTTACAACATTAAGAGGCCCTGCAGTGTCTTGTGGTTGTTGGCGACACGAAGCAACTCGGCCCAGTCGTGCCTTCTGCGACTGCGAAGCGCAATCCATACGGAAACTTCCTCACAACGTCTGCATTGCTCTGGATGATTCATCGCAACCCACACTTCACGCATGTAACTCTCTGGAACAACTACCGCAGCGTCAGATCACTGGTTCAACTACCAAGCCGTCTGTCTTACGGCGGCAAGATGATCTCCGCCCGCCCACAAATCGCACCAACCGCAGAGACGGTCAAAGTCATGCGATTTCTCAATACGCTCTTTGTTCGATATCCCCCAACGGATGCAAACAAGCGAATGGTGTTCGTTGACGTCGATTCTCCTGACAAGAAGGGTGAGGTGACCGGCTCTCAGGAGAACGCTGGAGGACGCGATGCCATTATGGATTATGTCCATCGGCTCGTTCACGAGCAGAGCATCTCACCGACTTCCATTGGCATCATCTCCATGTACGCTGATGACCTCAACACTCTCAAGAAGGCGATCAAAGATGCCCGTCTTGATGCCATCAAAGTTTCCACCGTCGACGGCTTTCAAGGACAGGAGAGGAACATCATGCTGGTGCATCTCGTGGCATCGCAGCACTTCAAGTTCATCGGCAACGCCAACAGGCTCAACGTTGCTCTGACTCGCGCAAAGGACGCCATGATTGTGGTTGGCAATCTTACTGCCATGAGCAATTTCCTGGCAAACAAGATGGATTCACTCGAGCGTGCAGATCAGATGGCACATCGATTGATTGCGGGCATGATCAAGCATGGTAACGAGAACCGACAGAGAATTGTGTACAGACCCAGATAGATAGCCGAGCGGTTGCGAGGACATTGCCATCAAGGAGTGAAGGGTAGTAGATATCAACAATGAAGGATGGGACTGTTGAACGAATGTCTCTCTCAGTGAAGCTCGTTGCCCTTGTGATATTCATTGTCTTCCACTATCCAATTGCTGCAAGAACTTGAACATTCGATCATGATACCACAGTGCTCTCGTCTTTGAGGTTCCCTTTGCCAGCATCTCTCTCGCTCTCCTCGCCTGGGTCCTCCTCACTGTCCCCGCCAGAATCTGACTGCACGCCCTCCTCTCATACCTCGTCCACCACTACAATATCCTCGCGGTGGTGCTTGCACCAAACAAACCGCTCACCATGGCACCAAAGACTGCAAAGCAAGATGAACACTTCCTTGCGGGTATCTACACCATGTACGCAGAGTGTGATCGGCTGAATCGAGAGGAGATTCAAATAAGGCAAGTAGTCCATCCCTGCCCATTCTTGCAATGTACTAACGAGCTCGAAGACCAAGGGTAAGAAGGTAGCTGCGTGTCAGAACTCAGCAACAAATTTGGCAGATACGACTGACCTTGACATTGCAACTCAAGTCAAATTGGAGCAATCACAGCAGGCAACATCTTGCGTGGACAAAGAGCAGTCAAAATTGGCCGCCTTGGAGTCCTGGGTGACGAACTCACTGGGCGTCCCTGTTGATATCACCCAGCGTTATATTACATCAAGACGCCGCAAAGAAGAACTCAAGTTTTTTTGGTGCAACTGCAACCTTCCATCGAGGCGACCAGCTACATGGTTTGCAGAACATTGGGAAGATGATGTCGTTTCGGCCGGTCCCGGCCACATTATCACCTTCCGCAGACTTTCCGCTGGAGGAACTTCGACGCTACTTCAGAGACGACCAGCTGACATGGGGGATCCCGGCTATTTTCGCATCCGTCCGATACTGCAGGTGGTATGGGTGTGCTCAGCACAGTGTCAATCTTGAAGCGAAACTTTTGACCCGAGACCTGGCAATCCAAGAGGCTGAGCGTAAGTTCGAAGTCGAAATTTCGACATTTGATGCCACCATCAAGGGTCAAGAACAGAAGATTGCGCAGCAATCTGTTGAACTTCTCAATCTGCAGGCGTGTTCGAAGATCATGTGGCTTCAGGCGGATGTCGACTCCCACGTTACTGGGATTCGGGAAGATCATGCAACAGATCTCCAACATCGCGAAGCCCAAAGCGAGCGAAGAGTTCAGGATGTGCTCGCGCAACTTGCTTTGGCCGAGAAGCGTCTCCAAGACCATACCATCTCAGGCGAAGAAGCCGAAGCCAGCCAGAGGCTGCTAGCCAATTCCAACCATGCCAGAGACCAGGCCCTGCTGGCTTCATGTTTCCGAGCTCGAAGACTCAATCCGTGAACTTGATCTTGGAATGTCTCAGGTGAAGTCTGAGCTTGGGGTGGCGAACAAGAGTGTCAATGCCAAGCAAGCCGAGCTGGAAGCGCGATCGTCGCACATGACCACTCTCAATGAGCAACTGCAGACCACACGTGGACAAGCAGCTCGTACTGAGGCCGAGCTACGGCTTCAAGTCGACTTCAAGGAGGAGATAGATGGTCGCTCTCGGCAACTCTCGCATCACCGCGCTGGTAACTGAGCTCGACGATGCAAAGCAAGACCGAGGAGCACGACAGCAAACAGACACAAGTCAACTTTGGGAGAAGGAGGACCAACTGAGCAAGCGATCGATGCGAGTCACCCAGCTGGAAGTCGATATCAAGCGTTATCAAGACGACGCYGGCCATCAACTCGCAACGACTACGAAAATTACCGCGGAGGTGAAAGCAAAAGACGAGAGGCTGAAGCAGCTGAGCGAAGAACTGAGATCCCACCATGATCAGCTCGAGGCGCGATCCTCGCGTATCACACAATTGAATGACGATGCTAACGCTGCCGAGCGAACAAGTCGCAGAGAGATTGCGATGTTGACCGCCAAGCTGGACTGTCGGAATGAACAAGTCATTCGGTTGGAAGCGCAGGTGAAATCGCAAGGAGACGAGCTCGAGGCGCGATCTTCGCGTATCACGCAGCTACTGCACCAATCGGGCAGCAAAACAGAAGAATTTCTCAGCCAAGATTGTCGCGGTTGAACAAGATTTGCGCCGCGAGAGTGATCTTGTCGCTAGCCTTGAAAGCAGGATCGCGGACGGCAATCGTGCCCTTGAGCGAGCGACTGATACGTTCAACGAACAAATCAAGACGCAGTCATCGCTCATCGCCAGCCTGAAAGAAGAGTCTTTGCACGCCAAGAAGGATTCCCACAAGCAAACCCAGCAAACCACATTGCAATTCCGGGAACTGCAGGGTACTCGCCTGCGCATCGCCGACCTGGAGAGCTCTCTTGAAGAGCTAAAACGACGAACATCGGAAAAACAAGGAGTCGTCTGATGCGCAGCTGGGCGCGCAACAACACGAGCTGCGAGCGCGATCTTCGCGCATCATTCACCTCCAAGACGTTGCCACGCAGAGCGATGTCGCTCACCGTAAGGAGGTCGACCAGCTGAAGCGTGAGAACATGCGAAAGGCAGAGAGCATCGAGGCATCATCCCTCCAACTTGCCCAACTCAAGAAGACCGCCACCGTCGACAATAAAGCTGCAGATGAACAAATCGCTGCCGCCCGAAAGTCTGCAGATTCACACAAGGTCGCCGCTGAGAAAGAGATCAAAATTTCTGAATGCAAGAGAGTCTTGCAACACAGCAAGGACATGCAAGATCGTGGCGATCTTCAGCAACAGCTACAGACATTCGAATCAACGATTGCGCTCGCACGTACATCGTTCCGTCTCCTTGCCATGGCTCTCTCCGTTCGGGTTGTCCGCAACTTCCCCGACTTCCAGTCGCTGCTCGTCTTTCCCCCTACTGATCTAGGCCCCCCCAAGGGACGGTCCTCTCGTCCACCAACACCCCATCAGCTGGGGATTCACAAAGTCTACGTTGTGCATGCAACCAATCGACAACCCAGAAGCAGTGGCTCTCAGCGTCTGGGTGTATGCCTGCATCGACCCACACTACACCAATGCAGCGCGATGCATGGACCTTTTCGATGTGATGCCAGTATCAGCCCCCGAAGAGAGAGTCTGGCCGTGAGAGATACCTATTGGCAACCGCCGTGGTCTTCCGACATCACCATTCCATGAATGAGGCATCCATGCTGGAGCTTACCGCCGTCCGGATCATTGTGCTCTTGGTATCGAACGCTGTCAAAGTCGCGCCCGCCCCGACTGTGGAGGTCTGGCAGTCAATTCCACTTCGCCACTGATCTGACCCTTTGATCGCTATCTTGGCTGCATGGATCGATGTTGCAGTCAGTACGCGTCGTCTTTATACAATCTTGTCGTAGGGTCGTCCTTCTTGCTTTCTAAACAACGGATAGCTCTGGAGCTGCTAGAACCTTCTCCGTTAGCAGAGTGGCTCGTAAAACGATGGAGACGGCAGTTGAGGGCGCGGTCTTGTTGATGATTTTCTCATATCGACAGCTCTGAGCTGCTGCCTCGGCGTTGTTGCTGCTGCGACGCTGTTTCCAGGTAAGGRGATGAATAGGAGTTCGGGGAGAAAGCGGCTTCTCACAATCATCCCTCGACTCGTTATAATCTGCTAGTATTTTTGACGTTGACAATGTTGGTAGTCTCGTCGTAGACTCCAGAGATTTCGTTGCATATACCGCTTGAAATTCCCGGCCCTGCAATTTGCTCCATTACAGTAGAGGTGAAGAGAACTCTTGCCTCTCCCGGCTGATCCACATCCTCTAGCCTATCCATTGTCTTCTCTCTACTCAAAACGGGGATGTTAGTATCATTGACAGCGCTGTCTTCCGCCGATTTCTCCTCTGAAATCTTCCTCTTAGCTTGGCTCGACACCTCTGTTTCCTTTGCCAGTCCGCTATCAGGCCAGCCAACCACATCCTGCAAGTTCGATGCCTTCTTACTGTTGGTCTCTTTGGCCTTGACATCTTGATGGCCTCCTGATGTGCAAGATAGGTATTGCGTCTGGCCTCAGGACACATGCAATGTCAATCGTCGTGTGTAAGTGGAACAAATGGACGGCCCCGGTTGACGAGCAGAACGGGGTTTTTGACCTTCGGAGAGACGTTTGCTTGTCTTGGAGCGTAAGACTTACCCTCTCACGGTTCCATCAAGGTATGATATGGTTTTTCGATTCGATTGATCGACYACGGATAATCTTGTCAATGTCCTCATCGGTTTCGACTTATTGAAGAGCCTCCATGATCTTCCGAACTTCTTCGTCGAAGCTACCTCGCTCGGGAAGTACATCTTCCAGTACCCTGACACCTTGGTTGTGTAACATGGTGAAGTCGTTGAACTGCGAGCTGTTGATACCAAGTGTACTCGAGCAGCGGTATGTGCCTTTTGCCTTTCTGTCGAAGTCTTGCCAGTACTGATGCGGGTACGATTTGCTGCCGTTCGAACTAAGATCTCATTGGCCAACTCCAAATTCTTCATCTTCTCCGTGAGCGCGGCGGTGTATTCCTCTCGCTTCTTCTTCGACTCCGCGGTCAACGTCACGTTAATCTCATTCAAGAGCTCCAGCATTTTGGTAACCCTGCTTGCCGTTAGCATTTCGTTCGACTCCGGCGTTTCCGGAGCACCTACACGCGAGGGTTGTCCATGTTGACACTGGACATCAGAGGACAGGAGAAGAATGGAAGTAAGGTCGGTGTAAACATCGAGGTGGTTCTTAGGAAGAGGGTGTGTGAGTGCTGTTGAACGAGTACCTTACTCCACGTTCCCATACGAACTTTTGGCATGTGTGAAAGTCAGCTTTTGAGATTTGTGAGCCTGTTTGTTTCAATCCCCGCCAGTTCGGCTCTTCAATCCTCTTCACCTCACTCCCGTCTTTCACATCACGCCCGCGACTGACACCTACCACTTCACGACAACACGACGAACAATCTCCAAGCCGTGCGCCAAGAAAGCGACGAGCCACCAGAGCTGCCGCTCGCGGCTACCACATCGAAGGCGCCGCTCGTTCCAGCCAGCACATTACATTCCCGAGCAGCAGACCGAGGAAGTCGTCGCCACCCTACCCCATCCCTGCACAAGGAAAAAAAGTCCCTCGCAGGGGTCCACAACTTCTCAGCTCCTCTTAAGGCGATGCCGGTCCCAGAGAATGAGAGGTTCCCTCTCTCACATCTCGCAATATCGACGTGCACAATCTCAGGAACAACCTGAAATCCGCCATTCCGTTCGACTGGAATAGGCTCGATTGTCGAATCGCCAATTTCTTTGGAACCCGCCCCCCAGTAGGCCAGTCGCAGATATCTGCTCCTCTCCAGCGACACGCTCGCCGCCACAAACGCCAGCGCGCTGATGAAGCTTCAGATGACATCGTTCTGGCTGATTCTCCTATCGTAAATCAAATGGAGGTCGGCCAAAAAGACCTGTTCTCGAATCTTTGTACTTGCCCAGGATGCGAGAGTGCTCATATCGCGGCACAACAGTGAGGACCCAGCTCTGGAAGAGTTCCACCCCCTTTGGATCCTGAAAAAACATGATGGAGAGGGGGAAGAGCTCACACCGCTCCACAAACATGTCCTCGACTATGCCCCGCATCAGAGCATCGTTGGGTTGATCGTTGTTCTGGTTGAAACTGGCACAAAAGTTGATGTTTTTGCAGACAATCCGCGATACGAAAGTTGAGATAGTCAGAGGAGCTACATGTAGTTGGTACAGTTGATGGAATAGGGCGTCACGCTCCTGACTCGTTGAGCTACGCCAGCTTTCCCGTCCACCTAGCTCTGGCTTGTCGATGGCAATGCTGACGGCATCTCGGAAGTAATGCTTCATGTCTCTCCGTGCATCCTTGATTGTTGATTTATTGACCTTCTTGAAATCTCCCGATATCAAGCGAGCGATCTCCTCCCTCACAGAGTCCGTGATAGTTCCGTAGAGGAAGTCAGTGTGCTGCACATACGACGCTTACTATTGTTTTTTGATCGGTTGGTAGATTGGATCTTGACACTGTAGACGAGGACATGTTCCTGTTTCCTCCACGGGTAGAATCGCGGATGATGGGCGCAGGGCCGCCTCGGCTCAATTCTTGAAAGTCCACGTCAATTGTATCTCCACACTACCCCTTCGCGTTGCCGTTGCGTAGGTGTGGTGACTAAACACCGGCCGAAAATGACCATACCTACCTACTTTGCACGCACCTGCCTTACCTTGCACGGACCCACCTACTTTACACGCACCTGCATCCGCTAATTCCGGGCCCACGAAGCGCCTGTTCGGAGGTAGCGTCAATTGGGCGTTGCAGCGGCACTCTTTTTTGACTTCACGTGCCGGGAACACACCTTAGGATATCAGCGACAATCCTCATTGGCYCGAAGGTGCGAGATTCGTGCTCCTGGATCATCTTGAAGCTGTATTTGCCAATTGTGTCCGATTCTCTCTCGAACGCGCAGATCAAGAATGGGTTTCTTCCGGGATCGCTGATCCTACCTAGAGGACCCCGCGATAACAGCAAACCAAAGGTTTGGTAGTCGGTACAGCTTTTTCAGCCATTGCTTCAAAATAGACTGATCTTCAACACTTGTGTCCGCTGGCAGATAGCTTTCCGGGAGAGGGTCTCAGGTCACACTGTGAGTGGTCAGTCTTGTCTCGATCCCCTTACATACCCTAGTAGACGACGGATAGCTGGGGTTTCGGTAGCCCCATAGATTTCTTGACGCGCTGATGGATCAAAGTATCGTACTGCTGCACCTGTTTGAACGTGGAAGCCTTCCACGGACGCGATGATCTTAGGTCTGCTGGGATGAGGTCGAGAAGGGAGTTGGAAGCGGTCACCAGGCGCTCATAGAATTGTCGATCATCTTCACTACTGCCAGTGGCGCACATGTCCAGCAGGGCTTCACCAATCGTGAACATGAGTCCATTTCCTTCATCCGTGGTGCAGGTCTGTCTCATCTGCTGCGCGCTCTCGTCAAGTGCGTGAAAAAAATGAAGAGATGGGGAGCTCCCTTTCGGAAGCCTCTGTGGTTTCCCACGTCGGTCGAGGAAACCGCGAGCCTTGCGTTAGAGAAGGCTTTTTCGCTATGGAGATTGGTTTCCAGACATCGGCGAATGTGGCGTATTATAAGGAGAGTTTCAGGGGAAGTGGAGTAGCGCGACGTGGCGTGGCGTAGCGAACAACAGGGAAGTGGAAGATTTGTTTGCTGCACATCCGACATTCTTTGTCTTCACGACACCGACAGCTTCACCTTGAGCATAACAATCCTCACCACAGCCGTATCGACCATGTCTTCGCCGCCGTCCGTCGCATCGCAGGAGATTGAACAGGCGCAACATACCAGGGTCAAGACGAGAACCAAGCTATCACCCAGATATGCCCCCGACCGGTGGCGTTGAGCTGTTGGGGGGGGGCCGCGCCCAGTACAGCCGTATCTTTGGTTAGGGATTCGCTGAAGGTCTCTCCCGGCTTGGCGATACCCCTGCAAGATTCAGGCTGAGCGATGTCTGCAGGACAACTATCTGCCATGAATCAAATTGAGGAGAAATGATAGCAAAGGCTGGATGGAGGAAGCTCGATCAGAGTGGCTCAATGGTGAATAGACAATGCGCAGCAAAGCTCTGCTTTGTCACAGATCTCGTCCGCGCCTTCTCTTGTTCCCAATCTCAATCCCCTCTTCCCGCCCAAAGCTTAATTTTCGCGCTCGCCGGATCTGAACTCCCTCCAAATTTTCTCTTGACGATCACACTTTGACGTCGTTGGCTTCGTCTTGGTCAGGCAAGGAAGACGTGCTGACTATCAGGCGAGTGTTCGACAAATAACGTGGCCTCCTCTCCTGTATTGTCGCTTCGCCTCTTTTTCTTTATCCGAACTCTGCATGTGCGATGGAAGTCGTACGTGGGATGAACGTTGCCGCTCTCTCTTCCTACTTTCCTTCGGGCAGGAGCTGCCAACTGCGAGAACGTCACAGGTCTTGGCAACTTGTTTTCTCTTTGCTTGTTTGTTGATCTCTCTCCCTCTGAGCTTACAGGTGAGTAATCTTCGTCGCCGACCTCATTCTCCAATGAGGACTGGAGAGGCTAACTCTGCTGTTCAAATAGCGGGAGCTTCACAATCGAAAGAGGCAAAAGATGGGGAAATGCGAGTAGACGTTGCCGAGGAGAGCCCTACTTGTGCTCACTGCTGTCGATACCGCGCAATAGGTAGCTCTCACATTACCTCGCTCTCTACAGACTCGACGGTTCTGGGCTTGCTGGAGCCCTTGCTACGGAGACTCTCCCGCCAACTAACAGAGAGAGAAGTTCAGGACGCTGTTCTTGTTGACGAAAATACATCTCGACATCTCTGGAAATCTTGGCAGGATCATGCTGAGGACCTTGAGGATACATTTCATCTGAACGGTTATCGAAGTTTCGGCACACGATATCTACTCCCAGCTGATTCCTCCTCCCAGTTCTGCTATCTCTTTCCCTCCCACTAGTTCTCACCCTCTCCTCTTGCCTCCTACATCACATCAATATCCTAGATCCACCCAGCAGCCTCAGTCTTCTTCAAAGCCTCCAACCACACATTCGACATAAGCTTATACCCGGCATCATTCGGATGCAGGTAATCAAAGAACGTACCCGACGTGAGTATCCTAGACATATCAGCAATTTGAACATGCTGTCCAGCGCTCACACGCTTAGACACATCCGCTACATCCCAATCAGTCAGTAATTCATTTAGTGACAAGCTTCCAACCCATTCCTCAGGTCTGATATCCAAAACGAACCTTTGATCCCCGCATTAACAACATCAATAGCGCTCTGCGTTCTCGCACTCGTAGATCCCACCATCTGCGCAACGACAACAGCAGCTCCCGGCCAATATCCCCGTACTTGATCAACGAGTTTCGAAACCCGCTTACTAGCGTTCGCCACATCGATATTCCCATTTGCATCATTCGTGCCGGCGTGCAAGAGAATGACAWTCGGAGCACTGCTACCAGTAAACCGCGTATGCGTCGTGGTCAGATGGCCAGAGATTTGATCAATGGTTGCTCCAGGGTATCCTTCGCTGAGGTTATCGACCATGCTACCCGATCGTTGAGTTCCAACAAAGGCAGTTGTGGCTCCGATGGCTTTTAAGCTGCTGAGCAAATCATCGCGCCAGCCATTTTGATCGGAACTACCGAATCCGTGCTGAAGATGATCAGCAAAGATACTATGCATGTATGGAAGACGTGGTTGAATCTTACGGTTATACTGTCTCCCAAAGGCAGAATTCGGAGATTCTTCCCTCGGAGATCCCGACTTTGAATCGCTGGGTCTACGGATGAAATGGGTGCTGCCCAGGACAGCACATTCAACCCCAGTGAGATCGCAAGGGTGGAGAAATGCATGTCGAAGATTGGTTGAAGAGGTTCAAAGACTGAGAGACTTTGGAGCAGATAATGCGTTGCAGAGGTTTGTACTTTGAAAAGATCAAGTTGCTTTGATATATACATTGCTCGATGTTTCATATTAAGTATTTATTCCAGACCACAGTGCGGGGACTGGTGGATCTGATGCCCAATCGGAAAAATCATGCAACAGGTTGATGGGATCGACGCCGGGATGCGGTATCAGCCTAGCYATCAGCCTAAATGGTCGTGCAACTCCTGATCTGAGATTATCTCTAGGGATGGATAATTACACATCTTCGAATGTCAATGTATGAACGGGAGATTGTTGCATCACCTTTGTGAAAGTCATTCTTTGAAATTTATCCATGGTATGATGTCGCTCTCTCTCCCTGCAGCGACTGTCTCAAAAGAATAGTCCAAAGGACTCTGACAGTCTTCAAAAGAGCGTTGTGGTACATCATGTCTCTGACCTTCACCCTTCCATCTCCGGGTCAATCTGACTCTCCCCTTGGGAGTGCATAAGTAAGAGGTCCCTCTCCATCCGATCGAATCCTTTTTCTGACTGTCTCTCTTCAGATCGTGTTTCTCGGGCTCAGAGGTCTTTCCCTCCATGATTCCTCCCATAATGCCCCATGAGGGTCGGGAAGTAAATCTTTGAGAGATTGCTCCCCAACCAGTTGACTCTCTTCTTCGATCACGCGGTCAATCCGTTCCTGGGCAAGATTGGCAGCCCTCCAGATCATGTGCAACTCTGGAACCGCATTCCGTGGGTTTGGCTGCAGCTTAGTAAGGGCTAAACGGAGCCCGTGAATCCGAGCTTGTAAGAGTTTCTGGTGATTCATCCGATCTGACTTGCTCGCCAGCATTATTTCCCTCTGCCTCAAGGAATACCGTAACACTTCCTGTGCTTCCAAAGGGGGTACCGGCTTGTGATTCCAGCTTTTGAGCATAGGAAACGCATCAAATGTGGGAGGCTCCTAGGCCCAGCAGATACTGCGGAGACTGGTATGGTGGAGACACTCCAACGCGGTAAGCTCGGCCTCGTCGATAATACACTCAACTCCCGGATGAATCTCGAAGATGCTAACGCTTTGCTGGAGCGCTAAAAGCCTTTCCCGGACTTCTCCAGGGCTTGTCGTGATCGGTAGGAACCTATCGCCGAGTCAGGGACTGAAATGGTGGCCGTTTGCTTTTGAGGATGACTTACCAGTCCATTGTCGCTAGTGATGATGAGCGGGTCACAGTGGTTGGGGATAGAATTGAAGCTGGATGTGAATTTGCTGWTGTGATGGGTTGAAGAGGATGAGTCTTGAATCCCAACGGAAAGGAAGGTCAAGGCTATCTACAATCTACTATTGGGATCAGGTCAATCCCAATGGCGGCCTTATATAAACAAAGTTAGGGTTACGACCCTAAAGGGGTCAATCCTAATAGGTTAATCCCAATGGGTTCCCTTTGTCGTATATTTCCAACGTTTAGACAGCTTCGAGTATATCGCAGAATTATAAATCCGCGAAGCATCTAAGTCTATCCGAGCGCTACCTCGTCGTCGGTAACGGATTATAGAAGCGGTAGGAAGAAAGTAATATTCCGCGTAAGGACTAGCTAAGTAGGGCACGCGACGTCTAYCTAAGGGCCGGGCGTACGACGTCTATTTAGATTAGATAGTAGACCCGAGGCGATACGTAACGAGTCGAGTCGTATAGGGGGCAAGGTTTAGACAGGGAGTACGATTAAGCACGCGCGAGATTCGTAATAGCTAGGCGCGTATATATAATTTAAAAGAAGAGATAGAATACTATAAGTATATTAGTACGACAGCGATAGCGTAATAGAAGCATTCGATAAAATATTCGTTTACTATACCGAGTATCGGATTATAGTTTATAAGCGATATAGATATGCCGTTAATCTAGCCTAGATTTAGGGCTATATCGTCGCTAACTACAAGACCGTTACTAAGTAGTAGCGCTAGTAGATTATCGAGTTTGTCGCCGGATTATCCGCTATTACCCGTATACCGGAGGAGGTAAGATATCCCGATACGAGTAGTACGGCTATAGTTAGATTACTAGTATATAATAACGGGTTAAGGTGTATTATATAGGTTAGTAACGAAGAGTATAGCCGGGTGTATTATAAGAGAAGCGGCATATAAAAGCATTGCCGTATATAGTATAGTTAGGAGAACCCGCGTACTAGAGGTAGCTATCGACGTAAAGGAATCCCCGAAGAGATAGGCTAGTTATAGGTTATAAATTAACTATACTAGCAATTTTTTAAGAGCGGCATTTAGAAGAGGCATTTCGCCATTTAGGTCGTGCTACTATCCGGATAGGATTCCGTCGTTAATAATGCTATTATAAAGGCCGATACATAGGTAGAGGGAATGTTAAAAGAATTTTAGGACGCTAAAATGTAGGAGTAGAACGAACGCAGCCGGTACGAGTCTAATCTATAGTTAGAACATACCGGATAGGAGAAGTATATTAGCTAGTTTAAGGCATAGGTAGTAAAGCAGGTATAGGAAGATATTAGGGTTAGGGTTAGGGTTAGGGTTAGGGTTAGGGTTAGGGTTAGGGTTAGGGTTAGGGTTAGGGTTAGGGTTAGGGTTAGGGTTAGGGTTAGG